TTTGTCCCAAATGAGATTTTTTTAAATGATACAAAAGATATTTATGAAATGTCTTCAAGTTTAAGTAATGAAAGCAGCTTTATCTCTTTAAGTATTTTTGTTGGGTTTTTCAAGACTAAACTGGATAATCAGTTTAAAGTTATGAAATACAAACCATATGAGCCTAATTAAGATAAAAAAAAAAACAGCTGATAAAATCCTTTTCTGCTTTCCAGGTTCTAGGTCCCCAGGTCCAGGACCTCAGGTCCCCATGCACAGCAGTGGGGATGGAGACGGGGAGCGCTGGGGAGGCGCTGTTACACCCGCAGTGAGCCTGAACGAGCAAATTGTGGTGGCGCTGGCCAGACTGCAGGAAGACATGCAGAGTGTTCTGGAAAGACTAAGAACCTTGGAGGCTCTAACAGCCAACCAGGTCAGACCAGCCAGTCCTGTCGGTTCCTTGCCTCACAACAACAATGTTAGACAGGAATACTGGTTCTTACTGTTAGCTTTTATTTCATTTCATCAAACAGAATATTTGCAAACATTTCCAGCCTTTCAGGCTTTATTTTTAACTGGTTAAATAAATCATAAATATAATTTTAGTTCCCTACTAACCTCCAACATGCTCTATTCATCTGCTCTTATTACTAGTCTAGCCAAAATAGATTATTGTGAATTTCCAGGTTAATAACTACTTTCAGAGTTTATCTGAATTTTTTTTGTGTCCAAAAATAGAAAATCTTATCTTATATGTTTTTGTCTTCAACAAAAAGATTTGTCGTTATATAAGCGGGATGCCATAATATTGAAAACAGCAGTTTTTTGCAGTTCTTCATGTTGTCCTATTATGAAACAGACTAAACCATTTTATTTGTGTTGTTTGTGCGGATTTCTGACTTGACAAGCTCACACAAGAACACATTTTCCCTCTAACAGACACAGAGTGCCCCAGAAAAGATGTCGCAACCGCCTACAATCCAAACTTAAATATGTGCGTTAACACACCTCCCCCAGGATTCACTCTGCTCTGATGAGCAGCCAAAGCTCTGCTTCTCCGTACCCAAAAAATAACCCAAGCTGTATTCATCTCCATTCACCCTCCTTTGTCTGCTTAAGGAAAACCTCGCAGCATAATACTTCCACCACTATGTTTCACTGTGTAGATCATGGGCTGAAGGTGACTGACATCATGAGGCTGTTTGCTCACTGATGTTCTCTAACTAACCTCCGAGGCCTTTTTCCAGAACAGGGGTGATTACCTATAAGTTGACATCTAAATTTAATATGCTGGGTTTTATTTTATTTGGGGCAGAATACAGATACAGGCCACAAACATTTAGGCTATTTTTATAAAGAAAATGTTTGCGTTTCCAGAAAGGAATTATTTCCTTAACACATTATCTATTTATGGGCCCCAATATCTGTTTTAGCTTAGTGCAAGTTCCAGAGTTTTTCCAGACCTTTTTCCTTCACTGGTGATGACTGCAGTGTTGTGCTCACACATGGGAGAAGAAGAAAAAGCCCAGCAGTCTGCAGCTGGAAAGGGCTTTAGTTTAGAGGACTTATATCAGCTGGGGTAAAAAAAAAAAGTATAAATATTAAAGTGGTTTGAACAGATACCACCATTTTAGCAAAAAGAAGGCTAACTGCATTTAACTCCTTTCCAGGGCAGAGAGGTCTGTTTGTTCATTAGTTTTATTCTCTTACTTGTGATGGGGTTTGGGGTGCACTAGTTGCTTGTCTTTTGTTATCCATCTTCACATACCCCACCCTTGTTCTCTCGCTAAGGTGGAGACCCAACAAAGCAGCACAACAGCTAACACCCAAAGACGCTGCCCGAGAATTCAGCCTAAATCACTGCCTCATCAATTAATAGATCCTATAGATGCTACTGGGGGTAAATAAAGGAAACCTCATGTAACATATCATGCAATTATTAGGGCATGTAGCAAAGAATATTAAACAATTTTATTTTCAGTGGGGAAAACTCCCAAAATATCTCAGAAAAAAAAACCTTCCAATAGAAATAAAACCGTCTTTATCAAGTAGCTTTAACAGGCGAAAAAAATAACACTTCGAACGATGAAAATAGACGATCAGGGTGGAGATACATTCATATGAAAAAGTTTGGGCACCCTTATTAATCTGAATTATTTTTATCTCTAAATATTGAGGTGTTGGCAACAGCTACTTCAGTTTGATATATCTAATAACTGATGGACACAATATTTCAGTATTGAATTGATGTTTATATAATTGTAGATGAATTAATGCTACATTTAAACCGTTGGGCTATCTGACCAAACACTGAAAAATGTGATTAAAATCAATCTATTTGTTCAGATTAGGAACCAATGTGGTTGTTTACATTAAAGAGCAAACACTCAATCTTTCACGACGCTGGGAACATCCTAAGTGTATCCATAACTAAAAATAAAATTTTAATATGAATAATAAAAGGTAATGAAAAGATAAGCAGCCTTTTTCAGGACATTTTAATTTCAAGTCCTCTGGAAAAAAAAAACATTTTATAGATGATCTTTTAGATTATTCAGATAATGTTAAATTAAAAAGATAAAAAAAACAACAATGGTGGTAAATGTCAGCAACCTCTGCACAGAAAGGAGAAACCTGATGGAATGGTACATTTCTCTCTGTCAGACTGCTTCATATGAACAAGATAAATTGGACTGCTTTTAAAAATCCTTCTTTTTTTCCCTGTTTTTTGCAGACGAGATCAGTGACTCTGCCTACCTATGGATCGCCTCAGACCAACAAGAAGAATCGGGTAGAGTTTAGACTGCATGGGTGCTTTATTAACGGAATGCTCTTCTTGAAACATCTGTGTGTTCTTCTCCTAGAACCCATCATGGTGGCCTTTTAACATTTCACCAACCAGTCTGGCCTTCGCCATTGTCTGGCCTTTTGTGGTTCAGTGGCTTATCCGTCTGTTCTTGCAGAGGAGAGGAAGGTATTACCTTTGCATCCACATGCACTCTTTGGAGTTTTTTTTTTTTTTTGCCGGACTAACTAGTTTTATGTATTTTTTGTCTCTTTTTTTTATTGCCAGACGCATCAACTGATCCAGCTAAGGACAGGAGTTGAACTGTCTTCAATCCAGTCCGGCTGCAGCCTCATCATCCTAATTAAACTCAACAGCCAGTAATTAGCTTTTGCACTTCGAAGAAGGAAACCGTGGAGCAAAGGATGAGTGGAGCATTGAAGTATGCAGTGAGCCGCACTCCGGCTACGTCGTGGAAGGGAAATGTTGAACGGGCTTTTGATTTAGTCGTGAAACTGTACTAGAATCTGTCTTTCAAATATAACGGTCTGTGACGAAACGGTTGTATGGATGTAGACCAACTACCGTAGCTACTTGATTATTTCCCTATCTTAGGCTTTGTTGCACAAAAGTTTGGTTATTTCATTAGCTGCCCAGGTGATGCTGCTATATTAAAATGTGTGATAATAACTGTAGAATATATATGCTGAATGTAAAATCGCATTGAGATGTGAGTGTTTCCAGGTAATATTTATTGCTTTTAATTACTTTCAACAGACAAGATTTTATCTGTAAAAAATGTATAACTTTGTTGTAAACTGATCTAAATTTGTCTCATGTGCACTGCTTTATATCAGAAGCCAGTTTATGTTCCACTTTTCATTTTCTCTAGAAAAAAGTGCCTCATCATCATGTAGTAGATGGCGTTACATTACAAGTTAGCTCTTCCGGGTATGGGCCAAATTAACGTTAAACAAGAGAATCTTCCACTCTGATTTCTAATCATTTATAAAATGCAGCATCGTTTTTATGGTTGTGTTTAATTGTTGTCTAAAGATTTGGATTGAATCCTCTGTTTGCAAAGCAGTGAAAACTAATTATATACAGTAGCTGTACAGTTCAGACCTTTAATGCAATATTTTAATTGCATTTATGTACTAATTGTAGATTAATATGTAATATTTACAGAGATTGGCGCACTAATTAAAGCTGATCTTTTCAGAGAAAATATGTTTTCATAACGAGAAAATTGGTTTACCTTTCTATTATAATGTACTGAAAAATTTCTCACCCCTTCTGCTTGTGCAGAGGTGTATGCATGTGATAATCACAGCCTGAAATAAAGTTTTGACCAAGCAGTTTGAGTGTGTGAAGGAAATGTTTCGATTGCAGATGAATCAATTTTATTCCATTGATTTGGATCATCCAGATAATTTCATACAAGAAAGTTAATTCTGGCTCTAATCATGATACTGCCATGCTAGCACCCCTATTACCATGACTGCTACACTTTTTATGTATAAAATTTGTATTTAAGTTTTCCAATATCCTCCTCTAAAGTGAGTTGAATTGTAAATAACTCACTTAGAAACCATTTTGAAATGGTTTATCAGGGATTTTTCCACAGCTCAAAACAGAGTAATTAGACACTTCACAGATCTGCAGTAGCATCAATAAGTTTAGAAAAATTTTTTCCTGATATTTCAAGAAATTAGAACATATCATACAACTTTGCAGCTGTACCTCAGAAATTTAAACATCCTATTCTACATCCTGCAGCAACTAGCCGTGCTACATCATTAATGCCTGCATTGTATAAAACCAACAACCTTTCAATTATTTCACTAGTTTCCTACTAAAAGAATACAATTATTAGATGCTAACTAAATTAATTTCAAGTCTTTTGTTCAGCTAATGCTGACTGTAATTAAGTTCTAATTAGCCTGACTGCTAATCCTAAATTGACCTTTAAGAATTCTGTCATCTCCTAAATGGTAATATTTGGATTGTCTGTCCTTTTCGATCAATCTTTCATAAAAATATGTTTTTGGAAAAAACAGAAACATTTAAAGTTTTAAGAGTTTATTAAAATTCTTTTGTTTCAGGGAAAAATAACAAACACACATAAACATTTTATTTGTATTTTCCCCTGTTTAATAAAGCAAATAAAATCAAACCCGCCTGAGGGTGAATCAGTAGTGCAGGGAGCAAAGAAATAAAGATCAAAAGACATAAAAGCGGGAAATTCCTGTTTAATTTGAAGTCCCACTTAAAAACAAATCAGACAATATAATCAACATGTGCACTATATAATAATAAGTCTTCCTTCGTTTTATTAAACCTCTGAATAGAGAGGGGCCCGCCTGCCAAGTCACAGATAAGTTGGTGATTATTTTAGAGAAAAACATGGCGGCAGAAGAGAGAACAGATCTACATGCAAAAGTAACACCTTAACCTGCAGATGATAAAGTTAACAAGCAAAAATTATAATTTAAAACTTCTTGAATCAGCAAATAAACAAAGTTTTAAAATACTTTCTACAACCAGCTCCTATAAACAGTGATTGCACATGCATCAACATTTTTTTATTTTCAAATAGAACCAGTTAACAGAACATTTATTTATTTAAATCAGTGCAGTTTAGGCCAGAGGCTATAGACTGAAGCCAGACACAGATATATGCTGAGCGTCGTTTCTCGCCTCAAAGTACGAGGTGTCGGTTTCATCCTCCGGCTGAGGTATGAAAGGCATCGGCTGGTTCTGCAGGTTGTCCCAGTCCAGCCCCTCAAACAAAGGGTGCTGCTTCAGTTCTGGACGAGGTTAAATGTGAACAATGAGACACAAAATCATTGTTATTGAAGAAGGCAACAACAAAGCATCAGTCTGGCCTTTGAGCTTCGTTACTCCAGACCTACTCCATTTGGACATGTGTGGGTGCTTTTAGGTAGACCTATTGTTGCTGAATACTTTGCAATCTTAAAAACATGTTCGAAATAAATCATCAAATAAAAGTGAACATGTGTTAACATGAGCCCCTTCAAGTGGGAGTTTTGTACACTTGTGACAATGAGGAAAATAGTGAAGGACCCTTAATATCTACGGGTTCCACGATTAAAAAACAAAAACTCAACATTAGAATGACCTTCCTCATTTAGTACCGTAATATGTAGTTTCTGCCCTTAAAAGACTGGTTTAGGTAAGTTGCTTTTTAAAATCTTTTAAACATATCTATGACTCTTGTCAAATGAGGTGCAACATATCTCAGGCTGAATGCAGCTTCCTAAAAGCGCTGTTTGTGAACTTTGGTATCTTTAATCCTGTTTAAAATTTTCCATAAATAGCAGTTTTAGTGTTTTGTTTGGCTTTAGGCCAGAACTAAGGTCCAGCTCAACCTGAATTTGAAGTTTAGTGAGCAAACAGGTTGTGAAATCCCCCCTTGATTCCTGACCAAGTCATACTAATGGGTGAAATGTTAAAAGTGAGGTCAAATGTGGAAAATCAAAGAAAAACAGGCTATAAATAAACCAGGGTTAACGTTCACTAGTCATTGAATCTAATTCCTCTTTTCAGGTTGGTTTCATCATATTCATTATAAAGATGTCACTGTTGATTGTTTTCCCTTTTTTAAATGATGATCAGTAAGAATTTCAAAGCATTTATGGAAATGATGTATATAAAGTTAAAGAATAGAATTGATAAGCTCATAAATAAAATTAAAATGTTTGGACTTGTTGAGGCTTAAAAATTAACACAGGAAAACAAAATGGGGAAAAAAATCTACACTGCATGCTCTTCTCAACATATTCAAATATTTTAGGCTAAGTTTAGACATTCTAAATATCACCATAGAGTTTAGGCATCAAAACTCAAAGGCCACCTTGAGAGATTTGCAGAACTAATTAAGCTGATCCTACATGTTAGAAAATAAGGTCTTTCATACAGTGAGGAAGATAAATATTTGAAAACCCATTTATTTTGCAAGTTCTCCTGCCTAGAAATCATGGAGGGGTCTGAAATTGTCATCAGTGTATCTCCACTATGAGATCATTATAGAACTAGAAATGCTATGACCATCCCTCTCGTTCAGAATACAAATTCATTCCAGTCTGATAATCTTACAATTTTTACGTTAGTCATTTTATTCTAGTTGGACCTTTTCTCCCCAAATGCTTTTATCCATATTAGCATAAGCACTGAGGCAAGGATCCACAGAGGGTTTAATGTTCAAACTTCCTGTAGACCCCAGCCGTGCTGCACTGATAATCTTTTAGGTTCGACAAACTAGAGCTGCAGTGATTATATTACTAGGTGATTAATCTATTAATTATCTTTTAAATAAATCGATTCGCAATCGGCTTAGTACGACGGAGTGTTAGGGCCAGGCTAGAGATTTGTTTTTCTTCTATTTCGAGAATAAAGTAAAATTACAGGAATAAAGTCACAACGAGAATTAAGTCGTAACATTACAAGGATAAAGTCGTAACATTATGAGAATAAAGTCCTAATATTACGAGAAAAAAAAGAGACAATGAGAATAGTCATAAAATTACTAGAATAAAGTCGTAATATAAGAGAATAAAGTCGTAATATAAGAGAATAAAGTCGTAATATAAGAGAATAAAGTCCTAAAATTACGAGAAACAAGTTGTATTTAATGACAACTCCTACAAGAAGCCCTTTCTTCTCTAAAATGAGTAATGTCAAGCATAATGTGAAGTTATATATTGGCTCTAGTTTGACAAATAAGGAAATCTTTTAGTACATCAGCATCAAATTGGGCAGCAGGTCAAAGTGGACTTGGGTTACTGTTTGTTGGCGCTGGTCAGCTGTCATATGCTGGTCAGAGCTCGAAGCTTTCTTTCTGTAACGGGTCGTGGTATGATGACTTCAATCTCGTAACGTTGCGACTTCATTCTCGTAACGTTGAGATTTTACTCTCGTAACATTGCGACTTTACTCTCGTAACATTGCGACTTTACTCTCGTAACATTGCGACTTTACTCTCGTAATTTTATGACTATTCTTGTTGCAACTTTATTCTCGTGATATTACGACTTTATTCTCAAAATAGGAAGAAAAAAAAATGTCTAGCTTGGCCCTAATACTATGTCGTAGCTTAGAAACCGGCGCCTTAAAAAGGGTTTTACACCAAATTTAAAAAAGGTGTAGGTAAAATTATACAACTTAAAAACTTCTGGATAGAAAATATTTATTGACAATGGAAGAAAAAAAAAAGTTTTTAAAAATGTTTTTAGATAGTCTGTTAGTAAATCCTCTTTCAGCCCTAAAAAACCCCAAAACAAGCAGATAGATACAGGTCATGACATGCTGCAGTTTTCCAGGTTTGATTCTTACCCTTCAGGCCAGCACGCTTCGTCACGTCCATGGTGAGCAGGATTTCAATGGCGTTCCTTGACTCTGCAGACAGTGCCTCCTCTCCTTCAGGCCAGGGGATGTCTGTAAACAGGAGGTAAAGGAAATCTCTTCAACTGGCTGGAAACAAAGAACCATGAGCATAAAGGCTTTGTTTTGGTGTACTGACTTCTGTTGATGATATTCTGGAAAACCAGCTGAGGCGTCTCGTCGTTAAAAGGCGGCACTCCCGTGAGGAACTCAAACAGACACACGCCGAGCGCCCACCAATCCACCATGCAGTCTGGCCAGAAACAAGCAGAAAGGATTGAGCTTTTTAATGAGCTGCAGACTGAGACCATCCACCATCTTCCCCTGTGACTCCTGTTAGTGTGACCTGACTGCACTGCAGTGGCTGAAGCAGGAAGGCCTATGTTAGACTGAGCATGGTGAGGGTCACCTTAACTCAGGGGTCTGCAACCTTTAATATCCAAATCCGTTTTGTCCCGAGTCAGGTTGATTAAAAGTTGGTAAGAGCTGCAAATATGGAAGATTTTTTGACTAATTATGACCATATAAATAAAACAAAACTTAAAATTTTTTTCAAATAACTGCAGTTTCCATTTCAAACGACCAACATCTTTTTTAGTATTTTCTAGCTTTAAAATTAGGAAAACCAAAAAACGTTTCATAAAGATGAAGCTTAGATTTTCCCTTTTCCTCTAAAGGATACTATTGTATGTAATAAAAAAAAAGTAGTTCTAAAAACATTTTTTTTTCCGGTATTTTAATGTCATTCTGTTGTGAAAATTCAATCCAAATCTGTTATGCTTTATTATACTACATGAGTTGTTTTAAATAGCATTTTAGGCCACTATTAAGAGCCATTATAGAGGTTCCAAAGAGCTGCAGGTTGCAGGCCCCTGCCTTAACTTTAACATTAAGAGGAGAATAATCACAACAATTATTCACTTTAACATGCAAATGTATCAACAGGATAACTAAAGGTGTGGATAACTGAAAATTCAGCTTCTACAGCAGATAAATCATTTGTTTGCGGAATTAAAACTTTGATCATTTATCAATTGAGTTAAAAATTATTACAACTCTGAATATTTCATATAATGATAGTAATTTAAAAATAATAAAATCAGGCTAAAAATAAACTGGACTGTGAAACTGACTTTGTTTACCATTTTGCAACGTATTTTCCCCATAAAACCTACAGATCTTAGAAGCAGATACCAGTTTGTTCAGTTAAAAGCACATCAGGCTCCAGATTCCCCTGCTGTTTTAATTGGAAACTTCTCCTTGCTCCATTATCAGTCCCAGTTTGTTCCCAGATCCATAGCGCAGAAACAGAGGGAATGGAAAATATGGGGAAGAATCAGCTTTCTTTCTACAAAGTATTAGCAGCCGGGCAGGGGAAACATGCAAGCTTACTTGCAAGGAACAACGTTATTATAAACTTACCAAACTGAGCCCATCCTGAAACTAAAAGAGAATGTCGTCACAAGAGCCCGAGTGAGAATCAGCAGGCTGTTTATTTTATCAGCACCAGATCGGACAGGAGGATATGTGTGACATTAAGCGCTTCCCCTTATTTACCGTGAAGTTTCCCGAGCAGCAGCTCCGGAGCCAAATAATCAGGGGTTCCCAAAATCGGAGCACCTTCAACTGGCAGCGCACCCCTTCGAACACTCTTTGGAGTCCGGTAAGGGGTGTGGCAGGTCGACATGGGCTGAGGAGTCTGATAAAAGGGGAGCATTCAAAAGAGAAATGTTAAAAATATGGACAGTGGATAAGCAGTAATAATTATAGTCAGTATCTGCAGCGTGTCCATCAATCTGAAATAAAAAATTATGAAAGACAAACATTAATATGTAATCAAAAAAATGTGATCAAATCTGATCGAAACCAAACATTAAGAAAAATTAACATAAGGAAAATAAAAATAAACAAAAAATACACATAAAAACAATACGAAGATAAAAAGTCAAAGATAAAACAAACATTTTCGAACATGATTAAAAATAAGGATGCAAGCAAAATCTAAAAACTTTACCTAAAGGATAAGTGACAAAAAAGCTTTATAAAGTATATTAAAACAAAAATCAAAGTAAAAAGGGAAGAGCATAAAAAAGAAATTAAGAAAGATATTAAGCTAATTTAAAAAGTGATCAGAATAGAAAAAGATTAAATAACTTGAAAAAAGATTAATCACAAAATAAAATTCGGTAGGTAGACAAAATTCGAAACACTACCAGAACAGCTGATGCAAACAACAGCCTTGGTTCCTCATCCCTATAAACCCACCTGAAAAAGAGAATTGTTGGAGTGTCTCCTCCTCTGCACGGGCGTCGCCGCGCCGCACGCAGACTGATTCAGAGAGGAGGAGGTGACCTCCATGACCTCCACAGATCCACAGCTGAGTCTGGACACCCCTGAAACATTGGAGCGGTTGATGGAGCTGCAGTAGCTGCGGAAAACGACGGCGTTCCGTGGCTTCAGGAAAGACGGCGACTGTGAGACGCCAGCGGAGACGTTGTGGAGTTTATTAGCGTAGGAACACTGGGACCCGCCTCTCTGCTCACTCTGAACAGGTTTAGGTGTTGCTGTGGAAACAGTAGGGGTCTGGAACAGAGAATCTGTTCTCTTCTTTTCCGTTGATGATACTAAATTCCTACTTTCTGACGTCTTGCTCAATGGAGGAGCGGAGCTGCAGTCGGTGGTGGGCGATGTTTCATGCATGGACCCGTCAGAGTCCAGGCTCAAGCTCCTGCAAATGTCAGCTTTGCCAGGGGGCGGGGACATGAAAGTGGACTGTGGGAACTCTTCAGCTCCATCTTCAAACACATCTTCCAGGTCATTGAACAGAGTCTTCGCTACGCTAACAGGAATGGGACTGGAGCGCCTGGGACTCCGATGCTCAGCGGCTACATTCCCTTTAGTGGAGCGCAGGAAGTTGTCTATTTGGAAGGTGGAGAATGTCCCAGTGAGACCAGTGTGACTCTGAGAGCTCTCCTCCGGAATCTCAAAGGATCTCTTGTAGTCTGCGTTTGTCTTCTTGGCTCTGGTTTCCAGTAGCTCTGGACTTATATCCAACTCTGAGAATGTCCTCTTTACAGATGAGTGAACTGTTAGCTGGCAGTTCTCCTTCACTGTTGGACAAACATCAAGCCCAGCTGTGGAGAAAGGTCGAGGGGAACATTCCCCTATAAGTCTGTCATAATTAGACATTTTAGTCATATTGTGGGGAGCTTTGGCAGAACCTCCACAGGTCTGTTGGGGTCCTTTAAGCTCAGACTGCCCTCTAGACCTCTGCTCATTCTGGTGATAATTTTCTTTCTAAATAATAAATAACACAAAAAAACAACAAATTATTTTTCAAAAAGTCTTATTTGTAGCGGCTGCTCCTGCTTCACCATCACTGACCTCCTCACACTCCCACATGGGACTGATACCGCACTCTGTGTCGGTGGTGCTTCCTGCACTCATTGTCTCAAACCTCTTCCTAGTCCTCAGTAACCTGGGAGTCAGGTTTTTTTCCAGTTTATGAGGATTAAAGACAATGGATTTAGGTCCTGTAAGGATTTAAAAAAAATTCATTTGAATTCAACAGTTACAGCTAATATTCAAGGAAACATCTCTCCTCTAAGGTTGACATATTTCTGTTTAAATCTCTATATGCCAAGAACATTTGGAAGCAAAGTCAAATTCTTGGCCAATGAAAACAGGAATAATAAAGATGTAGAGAATTACACCTCAGTAATTTAGAATAAGTGTTTGGATGAGGCTCATTTCTCAATTCAAGAGTAGCTTTTTAAAGCATTTTAAGCAGCGTTTACTCATTCTTTTCATTCAGCCAACATTGCTGTACTGAATGTTTTTCTAAATTGGTTTGAAGCAATATTCCAGCTATAAAGCTTCAAGCTTTTAAATTGCTTTTTTTCAAATTAAATATATATATATATAACTGAAATAAAGGCTTTAAAACTTGAGCCTGTGTGACTATATTTCAATAGAGGAGTGAACTAAATTAACTTTCTAAAATAATAATAAAATATTCAAGATTTGAATTAAAATTAAACATTAAATCAGGAAAATATTATCAAAGATTTCAACAAAGATAAATCCCAATTAAAGACAGAATAGGTCAATGTAAGCCTTTTGAAGCTGAGAAGACAGAATCGACTGTCAGGCGTGGCGTTAACTGAGACTCTAGAGATGATGGGATGTCAGTAACAGCTCCAATTAACCCAGAGTCTTACAGCTCCCATCCTCTTCAGCATCTTAGCAACTGAAAACAGATCAGGCAGTTACTGTCCAATTTCATACTGAATATTACAAGCAAACCATCTTGTCTGACTCCAGCTAAGTTACAATAAAGATCATATGCCTGTTCATCCAATTGCACTGATAAAGTTAAAGGGTTTTGTCGGGCTGTATGTATATACACTATATTGCCAAAAGTATTTGCTCACCCATCCAAATTATTGGAATCAGGTGTTCCAATCACTTCCATGGCCACAGGTGTATAAATTCAAGCACCTAGGCATGCAGACTGTTTTTACAAACATTTGTGAAAGAATGGGTCGCTCTCAGGAGCTCAGTGAATTCCAGCGTGGAACTGTGATAGGATGCCACCTGTGCAACAAATCCAGTCGTGAAATTTCCTCGCTCCTAAATATTCCACAGTCAACTGTCAGCTGTATTATAAGAAAATGGAAGTGTTTGGGAACGACAGCAACTCAGCCACGAAGTGGTAGGCCACGTAAACTGACGGAGCGGGGTCAGCGGATGCTGACGCGCATAGTGCGAAGAGGTCGCCAACTTTCTGCAGAGCCAATCACTACAGACCTCCAAACTTCATGTGGCCTTCAGATTAGCTCAAGAACAGTGCGCAGAGAGCTTCATGGAATGGGTTTCCATGGTCGAGCAGCTGCATCCAAGCCATACATCACCAAGTGCAATGCAAAGCGTCGGATGCGGTGGTGTAAAGCACGCCGCCACTGGACTCTAGAGCAGTGGAGACGCGTTCTCTGGAGTGACGAATCGCGCTTCTCCATCTGGCAATCTGATGGACGGGTCTGGGTTTGGCGGTTGCCAGGAGAACGGTACTTGTCTGACTGCATTGTGCCAAGTGTAAAGTTTGGTGGAGGGGGGATTATGGTGTGGGGTTGTTTTTCAGGAGCTGGGCTTGGCCCCTTAGTTCCAGTGAAAGGAACTCTGAATGCTTCAGCATACCAAGACATTTTGGACAATTCCATGCTCCCAACTTTGTGGGAACAGTTTGGAGCTGGCCCCTTCCTCTTCCAACATGACTGTGCACCAGTGCACAAAGCAAGGTCCATAAAGACATGGATGACAGAGTCTGGTGTGGATGAACTTGACTGGCCTGCACAGAGTCCTGACCTCAACCCGATAGAACACCTTTGGGATGAATTAGAGCGGAGACTGAGAGCCAGGCCTTCTCGTCCAACATCAGTGTGCGACCTCACAAATGCGCTTCTGGAAGAATGGTCCAAAATTCCCATAAACACACTCCTAAACCTTGTGGACAGCCTTCCCAGAAGAGTTGAAGCTGTTCTAGCTGCAAAGGGTGGACCGACGTCATATTGAACCCTATGGATTAGGAACGGGATGTCACTTAAGCTCATATGTGAGTCAAGGCAGGTGAGCAAATACTTTTGGCAATATAGTGTATTTGAGCCTTTTTGTATACTTTGACCCAATCTGGATTAGAAAGAAAATCCACCAGAAATCTAAATTTGTGCCATTGATTATCGTGTGTTGATTCACTGATGTTTGATATAGTCTTTTCATTTCTAGGAATCCTTCAAGACGCTATATTTCTATGACATTGATGTCCAAGTGTATATTCTAGAGCTACATACTCTGTTTAAAAAGGTATTCGGCTGTGGAAAACGGCTGATCAGAGTTGTTCTTCAAAGGAGAGTTAAGCGAGTTGTTCTTCTGCTTGACTTTGTCGCAGGACATCGTTCTGGACGCAGCTGAGGCGCTGCAGTGCCGCCTGCTTTCTCCTGCAGGTGTGTTCTGCAGATCCAAACACAAAGAGGCAGGGATTGAAGCACAAGGACATCCTGCACACTTCAAAAACCTAATAAACGCTGCTTACGAATCCAAAGGAGCTGATCAAAGAGAGAACTTGACCCGGTGTGCGGAAGAAGTCTTTTTGTTGTTTAGCCAAAGATGGAGTCATGAGGATATCCATAAGACTCAGCTCTGCTTCAAACAGAAAGCACACATATTAAAAAGAAGGCAAGCAAACACAAAGTGTTGATGGTTACAGATTCATTTCATCTCACAGGACACACTACCTCTGTCAAGCTTGACTTTTGAAAGGCCAAAGTCTGTCAGCTTGATGTGACCTTCATTGGATATAAGCATGTTGTCTGGCTTCAGGTCCCTGAACACATCAGAGCAAATGTTGAGCACAGATCGCTTGCTTGGATAATAATCTAACATCTCTCTGCATGACGTTGCGTACCTGTGGATTATACCGTGGCGGTGGAGGTAGTCCAAAGCCAGCGCAACCTCAGAGATGTACTTTGCAGCCATGTCCTCCTCAAAGTACCCATAAATATGAAGGAGAGACTTCACATCCCCGCCGATCAGGTATTCCATCACCTTTAAAACATTTTTTTAAAATATATGGTTAGAATAAATACTAGAATCTATCTAGAGGTTTTGATTGAGCGTTGAAATTAGCATTAAAAGGTGAAACAGCCTTGAGAAGTAGAATCACACCACAGCAAAACTAGATGACTTACCCAGAAGCCAACAGGCAAATCCTCAGTCAGTCAACTAGAAAACCCTGCTCTAACAGTTATTATATCATTAAGCATAAAGCTTTATCCCTTCACTAATGTATATACACTAAACCTGCATGCTGGAAATAAACTCCAAGCGCAAAGGAGTATTTTTTATTCTAAAACCAGACCTTAAAGATGCAAATAATACACATAGATGGCAGGCTTGAATGCAGCTGCTAGGCAATGAAACGTTTTTTAATTATGGGATCTAAACACTGATACTTTTCTAACTAAAACAGGCTACACACTCCGACTTTTTTTCTTACATCAATGACAATAAAAGCGACTGGAGCAACTGATTTTAATGATTGAAGGAGGTGTCCTAATCAACATGAGGACAAGCGAAGAGATATTCACCTGAGGAGGGATGCATAGATCCTGAAGATTTAGCATTATTTTCTACTTGGACAATTGTAAATGCTGTGAAGAACACCTAGGGCTGGGTGATAGGGATTAAACATCGAAGCTCTGATTTATTTCCAACCAAATCTGATTAATCGTTTTTTTTTTCTGTTTTTTTTTTTCTCCACTGTAGTTTTATAGAAAAATGACAAATCAGTGTTTTCGAAACTAGCTTTGAGTTCCATCATCACCTCTGGGAGGTTTAAAGGCTGTAAAATGATCATGTTCAGGCTTTTAGCCAGCAAGGTGCACAGGTGTATATTGTGTGCTCTTTACTAAAAATATTAGAAATTGTATGCCTTGTTTTTGGGAAGCAGGGCTTTAATATTCCGCCTGGAATCTTCACTCAAATGTTAAATATTTCACAAGCAGCAGCAGCAATTGGAAAAGCTGAACTTTTGCTTCTCAACGTGCCACAACAACCAATCAGAGAAGCTGATCCGAGGTCGTCAGGGAGACAGACGCAGCACTGCTGATGCAGATCGCTATGATCACTCCCCTGAAACAGTCTATTAATGCCTAAATTAACTTAAAATGTTCAAACCTGCCGGCAAAATGTGTTCACTGTTATTATTCTGATGCCTGAAGTTTCTACCACATACCTGAAAAATGCTAACATCTGCTTCTAGTGGCCATGAACAGTTGCTGAAAATCCCCTAGAGGTGACCGTGCCTGGGGCAGCTGCCGCTGGGGATTCCCAGTGACAGAGCACCGCCGTTATGTGGGGGTCTTAACGGCTTCGACAGCAAAAAAATATCATAAGGAAGGATCACAATCTTGATGAACTGACTGCACAGACGTTTTGAGGTGAACTTTCACATAAAGCAAATATTAAAACTACTTTTTACCAGCTTATTACAGCAAACATAGCAAAGCCGCTCTCTACCATTGAACACAGGAGCAGCAGAAGCATCAAAGGCATCTGGACACACTTTACTTGATGCGCCTGAGGCACATCTAACCTTAAAATGTACAAGATTCAAAAATGAGGCAGCAGGCTCTTTTTTTGCTCCTCTAATCGCAGTGTGGATGTAGCATTACACTCTTTGATTGTTTGAATTGACCTACGGAATATAACATTGTACCTGAAAATGATCTCATATCGTCTTTATGAAATTTCCACCTCTAGTATAACACACATACTTCCCAAGATCAGGACAAAAGCAGTGTTGTAACAAAGACAAAAGGTTAGCTGCATTCCACCTCAAAATGCAGGAAATAGTGCTTCAGAATCTAAATTTCAAAATGTTCTGGGATAGGACACCCCCGGACATGGCGCGCAAAGCCTAAAGATGTGATACACCAAGGTGTACACCCTCTGAAATATTCCTAGCTAAAGACTTGATCATGTTTCACACCAAACAATGAAAATAGAACTCTCAATGTTTGCAGGTAGTGGTATCACACAGTAAGATCTTTTTAGTTTTTTGTATTAGTTACGAACAGACATCCAAGAAAAAAAGGTGATGAGCGGATGTTGGTGAATGAAGGATAATAATCCACATATTCAAAAAAGATAACCCCATGAACCAAAACTTTGATTGGATAAAAATGGATTAACCACCCCACCCTGATAACACCTGAAACAAACCTGTACAATTTAATAGCAAAACGTCTATATCACGTAAACATTTAGTACTTCATTTATACCCAATTACAGAATGCTGTCATTGGACTGCTTCTCCAGACCAACATTGAATGAAAATCAAACTGATGAAGGCAGCATAATGTTCTTTCCCATTTCACCAGACTTGTTTGAGTCTTTTATGAAAGCAGTGAGTGAATCTGCTCCAGTTTGGGGGAACTGACAAGGCTCCAATGCCGAACCACAAAAATTCTGATGTTCTCTGAGAAATCCAGCACGATGCCAGGCATGGAGCGCAGCACCTAGAAGAGGATGTTAAGGAGTCTGCTTCAAGTGGTCAGAGACGTCCGGGTCCCTGACCCGCTGGAGGTCACTGCATGGAGCATCCTGGTCCTCTTTACACAAAACAGCAGCTATTGGCCCTGTTGATCAATTAAAGACTAGGAAATGTTGGGGGGCTTTCAGGCATTATAAAAATAGCCTGGAATCCCCTCCACAGCCTTCTGTCAGTGTCAAACACTGCTGTGCAATCCTCATCAAGTAAAGCTAAAGAAACCCACTCTAAAATAGGTAAAAATTTCAGCTTTTTTAACAAACAGTCTTGTCTCATTTTTGCATCTATCATTTATTTATTTGGCACAAAAACGGCCTTGATATATAGTATAATTTGTAGGTATAACCACCCATTCACTGTGCATTACCAGAAAGATCTTGGCTGCAGTCTGGAGAGAGTAAAACAGGTGGACAACGAAGGGACTTTTGCTGAGAGCGAGGGCATCTCTCTCCGCCTTCATCTGGTTCGCCATGTTTTTATCCACCATGTCTGCCTTCTTCATGACCTAAAGCAAAACAAACAACAAAATACAAACCCAAACTCAAATACAAAAAAAAATGTAATTTTAATTTAAATTAACCTCATTCAAAGCGAAACGTCTCACCTTAATAGCATATAAACGGGCATTGCTCTTCTTCCGAGCGAGGTAGACTTTTCCAAAGGCGCCACGGCTGATGGGTTTCAAAACGATGAAATCATCGATCGAAGGAGGCTTAGGTTTCTCCACTGACTTCACATTTGAACCAGCTTCGTGTTTGTCCCCTACCTCCATTATAAAGAGACAATATTGTCACTTATCCGTAGGTATGCCGAGAGTAAACATTACCATAACTGAACAACAACAGCTCGCTGTTTGTTTTGAATTTTTGAATTCCCTGCCTTGTCACGGGGTCCTGTGACTTTTATGGGTGCTTGAATAAATGCCTGAATGAAAACTGTTATAAAAGAGGCTACATTTCTGCAATTTAGAAAAAACGTACATATTATCTACAAGCCAAATGTATCCAGATATATGTGCATCATACAATTTATAAATGCTCCTATTTAATTAAACATAATTGTACTTGATGTAATTCAACTTTACCACGATAGAAAGTCATAAAATAAAACGCCAGTAACGAAGTAAAATATATACTAGGATGTTAGCTCCTTTGTGGCTTTTTTTCCCCTCCCATTTGACGAAGGTACTTTTTATCAGTTTGATCAAACGGTATAATTCAACATGGAAAAAACAGAAAAACGGCCGGAACTTGGTCATTTTTGACAGGCGAAAGCTGCAGACGTCCTTCTGAGGACCCACAACTGTCAATCTTGTTGCTCCGAATAATTTGAAGTTTGAGTTTTTAAATGTTTAGGTTTATGGATGGATGAAAAGTTGTTGCAAGGTTTAAAAAGTTTAATAATGGATTTTGCAGTCTAGTTGGCAGAGGTTGGGGAGCTGAAAGACTAACTTTGTATATGATTTATAGAGGAATGTTTTGTGTTTGATGCTGCAAGGAAAATAATTCTTAAGCTTGAAGGGAATGCAGTTTTGGGCTTGGTTAGCAGGGATTATCTACCACTCAGCAGCTGTCTTTTGGAAGGTTATTATAAATGTATCAAAAGGAAGGACAAATCACATTTTCTGTTTAAGGTTTAGTTAATTGCAAAAAGGGGATTTGGAGAAATAAGATCATAGGGTCAGTGTTGTCTCCTGTGCCTTATTGACTTTGCAATGGCTTGAATTGGATTTACGTTTATCAGGGAAGGATCAGGGTATTGCCAGTTGGCAAGTCAGTGAGTTTTTATATCAGGATATACAGGTGCTGGTCATAAAATTAGAATATCATGAAAAAGTAGATTGATTTCAGTAATTCCATTTAAAAAGTGGAACTTGTATATTATATTCATACATTACATACAAACTCATATATTTCAGATGTTTATTTTGTTTAATTTTGATTATTACAAATGACAACAAATGAAAATCTCAAATTCATCATATCAGAAAATTAGAATATTGTGAAAAGGTTCAAAATTGATGGCCCCTGGTGCCACACTCTAATCAGCTAATTAACTCAAACCACCTGCAAAAGCCTTTAAATGGTCTTTCAGTCTAGTTCTATAGGCTACACAATCATGGGGAAGACTGCTGACTTGACAGTTGTCCAAAAGACGACCATCGACACCTTGCACAAGGAGGGCAAGACACAAAAGGTCATCGCTAAAGAGGCTGGCTGTTCACAGAGCTCAGTGTCCAAGCACATTAATAGAGAGGCGAAGGGAAGGAAAAGATGTGGTCGAAAAAAGTGTACAAGCAAGAGAGATAACCGCACCCTGGAGAGGATTGTGAAACAAAACCCATTCAAAAATGTGGGGGAGATTCACAAAGAGTGGACTGCAGCTGGAGTGAGTGCTTCAAGAACCACCACACACAGACGTATGAAAGACATGGGTTTCTGCTGTCGCATTCCTTGTGTCAAGCCACTCTTGAACCACAGACAGCGTCAGAAGCGTCTTGCCTGGGCTAAAGAGAAACAGGACTGGACTGCTGGTGAGTGGTTCAAAGTCATGTTCTCTGATGAAAGTAAATTTTGCATTTCCTTTGGAAATCAAGGTCCCAGAGTCTGGAGGAAAAGAAGAGAGGCACTTCATCCACGTTGCTTGAAGTCCAGTGTAAAGTTTCCACAGTCAGTGATGGTTTGGGGTGCCATGTCATCTGCTGGTGTTGGTCCATTGTGTTTTCTGAGGTCCAGGGTCAACGCAGCCACATACCAGGAAGTTTTAGAGCACTTCATGCTTCCTGCAGCTGACCAACTTTTTGGAGATGCAGATTTCATTTTCCAACAGGACTTGGCACCTGCACACAGTGCCAAAGCTACCAGTACCTGGTTGAAGGACCATGGTATCCCTGTTCTTAATTGGCCAGCAAACTCTCCTGACCTTAACCCCATAGAAAATCTATGGGGTATTGTGAAGAAGAAGATGCAATACACCAGACCCAACAATTCAGAAGAGCTAAAAGCCACTATTAGAGCAACCTGGGCTATCATAACACCTGAGCAGTGCCACAGACTGATCGACTCCATGCCACGCCGCATTGCTGCAGTAATACAGGCCAAAGGAGGCCCAACTAAATACTGAGTGCTGTACATGCTCATACTTTTCATGTTCATACTTTTCAGTTGGCCAACATTTCTATAAATCCTTTGTTTTTATTGGTCTTCAGTAATATTCTAATTTTCTGATATGATGAATTTGAGATTTTCATTTGTTGTCATTTGTAATCATCAAAATTAAACAAAATAAACATCTGAAATATATGAGTTTGTATGTAATGTATGAATATAATATACAAGTTTCACTTTTTAAATGGAATTACTGAAATCAATCTACTTTTTCATGATATTCTAATTTTATGACCAGCACCTGTAATGCTTAGGCTGATTGCAAAGTGAACCAATTATCTAAAACAGTTTAAACACTTGACAGCATGCCAGACAGGTGGCAAAATAGTGTCAATAATATCCATATGTGTATATTTTTTGCTAGGGGTGTGTTTACAGTTCCACAAATAGAGTGCTGTGCAATGGATAGCTACAGTTTGATAAATGGGGTGTTACAAAATTGCAAACTGAGGGCAAAGCAGCTTTTGAGTTTGAAAACAGCATATGAGGGGAGGACGCAATAATTTTGCATTATACTGAGGAGGAAAAACCTATCAAAAAAATGGGAGTTTTAAATGGATGATAGCCCTAAACACACCAGTAAGCAAAGAGCATCTGGAAAAAGTTATGGAGCCTAAATCAAAAGAAAACTTGTGGATGATAAAAATTTAATATTAAACATTTAATGATAAACCTATTGCAATTGAAATTCTCCTGGCATCTTTGTGCATGTGGGTTCTCTCTGGGTACTCCGGCTTCCTCCCACAGTCCAAAAACTTGACTGTTAGGTTAATTGGCTTCTTTAAAGTCCCCTTAGGTGAGTGTGTGTGAATGGATGGTTGTCTCTGTGTTGCCCTTTGATTGGACTGGTGACCTGTCCAGGGTGTACCCTGCTTCTCGCCCATAGACAGCTGGAGATAGGGATCAGAATCCCTCACAATCCCACTTGGTATAAGCGTGTTAGAAAATGGATGGATGGAATAAGCTCTGATCTTCCTAGAATGATGAGCCAGAGGTTATTGACTCCTTGCAGCACTGATCTAAAGAAGTTCTAGGTATTAATTTGGTGATTCACAACTAAATCATTTTCATTTGAATCAATTTCATTTTAATTTTGTCTTTTTTTAAAGACAAAATATTTATTTCCCTCCCTCTATTGGACAAGAACAGATTTCATACACTCATTTTAATTTGACCTAAATAATGTGTGTGTGTGGAAAAGCAGTGATAACATTTCTGGAGTTTCCTGTCTTTTCAGAACAGGAAAGTCGACGCATTCGATTATTTTTCCCCACCAATCCAAATCTTGGAGGCACTTCCTTCGGATTGCACATTTCCAATCTTTATCAAACATGTATCCAAGCTTTCATAGAAAACAGCAAATGTCTGTACTCCTTTAGCACAGAAATAATTCAAAACATCCGTTTCCTGAGAGAGTAATCTTTATTGGAGCTTCAAAAAGGCCGTTGTCTAAAGTAACAGAAGCACCGAATCAGTCCTTTCAGACTCTTTACAGAATATTTACACAAACGCAAAACTGCCTTGTCTATTAAAGGTTACAGTTTTTTTTCTTTGATAAGAGGACCCATTATTCATTTCCCTGAAAAAAAAAAAAAGAACAAACACCTTTGGGCACTTAAATAACTTAAAAACAACGAAATCTGTGGGTGAAAACATAAAATACACAAGTTTTCAGCTGTGATTTTCACAGTGAGCAACAGAAGCAGACCTGCATTATTGCAGATGGGTACATTCTGGATGGAGGAACCTCAAGGTGTCCCTGGGGTCGGTTAACAACCTGCAGCTAACCATCATCTTTATTGAGATGAAGTGAGACCACAAACATCACTCTGATGAATACACTTTTCTAGAATTTAAATTGAGGACTGAAACATGGAGTTGTGATAATTTACCTGTAAAATAAAGTCATGTGGAAGAAAAACAGGCTACATGTTTGAAACATTTCATCCAGCTTTTCACATGGTAGAAAGAAGGAATAAAAACAGATAAAAGTGCGCAATTGAACAGCTTATTTACAGAATGCAGGAGTCTATGAATGTCCTAGTGATCCAGAGATTTTCCTTCCAGCACCATCTGGATCTCTTTGGCATCCAGGGTTTCATATCGTAGCAAAGCATCTGCTAGCTTCTCATGCTCCTTGCTGTAGGTCTTCAGGATGTTCTTAGCCCGTTCATAGGATTCCTGCAGAGAATAAACTGTTAACAGCTGAACTTTTAATGATGGTGAAAATGTCCACTGAGTGATGCTGATCATCTGACCTTCAGGAGAGCTCTGACTTCCTGCTCGACAGCAGCTTGTGTCTCAGGGCTCTGCTTGGTAATGTCTGTGTAGGTCATGACTCCGAGCTGCACAGAAACACAAATTACAACCTTAGGTTAAAGCGACAATGAGGCCTTTGTGAGCTTCAGTTAAAGTTCTCTGATCTGGTTGAGGTCAGAATTAAAAGACTTTTCATGTGTGTAATTACAGAGAACAATCATTACTTTAAAAGGCAGCTTTGTCTCTGCTCTGAAGCCATAAACAAAGAGAGAAACCTGAAGAACTGTTTACTCCCTTACAGATTTCTTGTTGCTTTAGTTTCAACACCTATAAATGTTTTACATGGAAACATATTTAATGGAAAAGAAAGTCAGAATTTGCCGCCTCCAAGTAGGAAATAAATGCTCAACGCTGTCGGAAAGTCAGAGCAATTCTACAAAGAGTAGTTCCTCATTCGAAATGGCTGCTGTTCTCATTAGATTAACTCTACTACTTTGACCATTTCTGTTTTTCATCCCATGAGTAACATAAAATCATTAACAATCCACTTTTGAGAGTTTCAGATGTTTTTAACTATATGTGCATAAAATATGAACGATAGGGGGCATGTCCAGAAGCTGAAAACTGGAACATTATCACATGTGGGTAGGATTGTTTAGAGCTGGTCTGTGTAAAAAGTCTGCCTGAGTAAATTTGTTGTTTTAGAATTTATTTTGTTAAATAGGGAACTTTATGCATGCATGTAATCAAAGCAAACTCCAGATGCTCTTAAAGCATAACTCACCTTGTCACTCATGCCGAACCTGGTTACCATCAGTTTAGCTATTTTTGTCGCACCGTCAAAGTCACTGGAAGCCCCTGAGAATCACAACAGGAAGAGGAGAATAAATCAGCTCTATAAAAGCTAAGCACGCAATGTTGTCACAGTAAACATGAGCTAAGTTAGATGCATTAAGCTGGATGATGTTGCAGCATTTTACCCGTGGTGATGTAGTTGTCTCCAAAGATGAGCTCCTCTGCGACTCGGCCGCCCATGCTGACGTCCATCTGAGCCAGCAGCTGGGCTCTGGTCTCGCTCCAGCGGTCATTCTCTGGAAGCATGGACACCTGGAGCACAATGACAATTCAGAGCAGATTCTGATGCAGGCAATCTAAATTAAGGCAGATTTTATTCACATCAAGATAAAAAAAAAAAACAACAAAATACAAACGCACATGGCCGAGGGTTGGTCCTCTGGGCATGATGGTGGCCTTGTTGATGGGCATTGCATCTTTGGTGTAATAGGCAACAATAGCGTGCCCGGACTCATGGTATGCTGTTATGGTCTTGTTCTGTTTGTCTATTTCAACACTCCGCCTCTCAGGACCTAACAGGAAATAAGCACAAAATAAAGAAATATTTTATTGCCAAAATAAATTGGTTCCAGTTCTTTTTAATCAATGAATAAAAAGTTAATTAATATTCTGTCAGATCTATAGGAGTAAAATTTAAGTAAAAAGACAGAAAAAAACAGGAAGGAAGGACCAGTGGATGGATAACTGAAAACAAACAGAAGGAAGGATAGATAGCAGATGGATGAGATAAATCCAGCCTGAAAGTTTGTGTGCCTCATGGATAAATGAGCGGATCAGAGTTCTGTGTGTAAACACACCCATGAGGATCTTGTCCTTTGCAAACTCCAGGTCTTTTATTGTGACCATCTCCTTCCCGTCCACAGCTGCCTTCAGGGCAGCCTGGTTCACCAGGTTCTCCAGCTCTGCACCGGAAAAACCCACCGTTCCTCGGGCAATGACCTCAGCATCAATGTCTGAGCGAGAACAAGCAAACCTTTTAAAGCACTCTACACTTCACTTTTAGAGACAATGTCCTTTGTAGCTTAGAGATTTAATGACCAACATCAGATACCCTTGAGTATGATTAGAAGGACCTACCAGGGTCCACTTTGATCTTGGAGAGGTACCAGTTGAGGATCTCTTTGCGACCTTTGACATCAGGGCGGGGGACGGTCACCTGCATGTCGAACCTTCCAGGCCTGACCAGAGCGCTGAAAAACAGCAGCAGGTAGCACTTAGAGTTCATACATTCTGCTGATCGTTTCTATGACATGAAATAAATCAAAAATGGAGAAAAAAAAAGACTAAAAAAAAAGTCATAATTATAGATATTTCTATAAACATAATAGAAAGCCTAAAAAAAAAAAAATAAAATACATATTTTTTTTATTGCATATTTAAAAGATGCATTACTTAGTTCAGACCTGCTGTTCTTTGGTCCTCATCAAGCTCTTAGCTAACTAACGTTTTCTGAGATACTGACCAAAGTAGTGACCACTAATACTGACTGAAACTGGAAATGTGGTAAAGTAGAGATAAAGGAGGAGATTTTAAATCGATATAAAGAGCACACTGTTTTGCCTTACATTTTAGCTCATAAATGAATATAAGTGATTCCACACTCAATTTTGCATATTGATGGAAAAGTGTAAAAAGTAATCCTAAACTTTTTTCGAATCAGAAGCTAACTTTAGCGATAGCTAATAGAAAGAGCATCTTTCATCCTAGCTGCTTTGTTGATGTCATAGCTCATTTCTATTAGAGATATTTGGAATATATGATTCTACCTGAAGCTAAGATTATCTAGCATGAATGTGATGTTTTGTGCAGCTACAGGAGCCTTTTTTTCTCAGTACCCACATCTATTCATGTTTTAGAATTTTCTCTGCCGGACCCCACCTGATCCAAATGACTGTATTTCCTTCTCAGAGAGCCATAGAGCGCTAAACGAAACTGAAAATACCCTGTTCATTGGGGCCGTGTGTGTAGCCGAAGGAAAACACCTAGAACATGCAGGGTGTTTGCAACAAGCATGCTCAGTATGCTGTAAAGTCAAACTGATGCAGGCAGCTGTCCAACATCTCCACATCCTGCAGAGTCAGTGACTTGATTTGCTAGATTTACCTAGATGGAAAACTTTTTACCAATCTTTCTGTGAGATTTAACTGAACTGACTTAACCAAGTGCCTTTAGATAACGTGATGAGAACTGGCATAATAGAAAACCATTTGACATGAAATCCACAACAAGTCCAGAAACACTGGTGGTTTGAGGCTCCGGCATATATCTAAATTATCCTTCAGGCTTTTTTTCTTTTTAGTATTTGGAGTTATGATTTACTGCTACATGTATTTTATGAACCACAGTTTCAACATCGTACTTAAAAAATTAAAAAACATACTTATCCAGAGCTTCAGCAAAGTTTGTAGCACCGATGACAATGACGCCTTCATTAGGTTTGAACCTGTAAAGCATCAAAGTAGTGTTTGATTATTTGAAATTGAATGGATAGCCCCTTAAGATCAAATTTTTGAAGAGGTTAAAGTGAATATTTTCTCCATCTTGTGAATTATTCCAAGAGCCTGCTGCTGAAACGTACCCATCCATTTCAGCCAGCAGCTGGTTGATGGTTTGCCTGGAGTAGGGATGCATCGGAGACTCGATCCTCTTTCCTCCCACGCTGTCCAACTCGTCGATGAAGATGACGCAGGGAGCATTTGCTTTGGCCTCTTCTGCAAATACCAAAAGAGAGTTTTTACTTGAAGGCCTCTTCGCGTTGTCGCTCACGTTTTCACTCATTCTGTAAACGTACTGAACAGGTTCCTGATGCGACTTGCGCCAACGCCCACAAACATCTCATCAAATTCTGACCCAGAGGCGTAGTAGAAAGGAACGTCAGCTTCTCCAGCTACAGCTCGCGCCAACAAAGTCTTCCCGGTGCCGGGAGGACCGATGAGAAGGATCCCTGCGGAACAACAGACATTATAATAACAAGTGGGGCTCATTTCTATTCACATCAACACGGCTCATCAGGAGGAAAAGGAGCTGATACCTTTAGGCAGCTTCCCACCCAAGACTGTGAACTTCTGTGGATTCTTGAGAAAGTCTACAACGTCTTGCAACTCGTTCTTTGCCTCCTCCACTCCCTTGACGTGATCGAATGTCACATTCTTCATCTGGATCGGGTCAACTGCAGAGTCAAGGCCAGATGTGGTGCGAAATCTCACTGTGGGAACCCGGGAAAAACCCAAAACATTAAGCTTCCCAGAGGAGGATTCTCTGAAAATACAAACTTATGCTACTTTCAAACAACATTTCCCACATTTACTCTTTTAGCTTCTATTCTGCCATAAAACTAGAAGACCTGCTTTAGAAATGCACATTTTCAGCAGAGACAAGCATGCAGCAAGATAAACAGACTCTACTTGCACACTACAGCACATGGATCATGTCAAACTACATATATTGTTTCCTGTTTTGGGGGATTTTATGAGAAGACCAACCAAATGTAGAGCATAATTATAAATGGAAATATAGGATTTTAAACACTTTTTTTAGAATCTAAAAAGGATATTTATTAACACCATATGTGTATTCTTGCTCTTTTACTTTGATAACCATAAATCAAATCCACTGCAACCAATCAGATGTTCTCTAATTTGTAATTGGAGCCGTTTGAAGGACATTTTATATCAGTATAAATTAAGCTTTTCTCTAAAGGACGCAGTGGTTTTCTTAAAGGATAGTGTTATGAAAACAAAGGGACACAGCAGACGGGTCCAGGATAGGGTTATGTGGATGTTTAAAGCACTCTTAGGTTATAAAAAGGTACACAAAGATTCAAAAACTGAAAAACAGGAAAATAACTGGGAAAATAACAAGACATGATGAACCTATAGTAACAAACTGGAGGAGGGAAGAAGTGTTGGTGGGGCAACTGTTGCCTTAATGCAAGAGTAACAAAAAGAACACCATTGTTAAAGAAAAATGCTGGTTGCGTCATTAGTTTCTGCTACAGCGACAGGGTAGCTGGTCAAAGCTTATGAGAAGATGGATGGAGCAAAAGTTAGGAAAATCCTAAAATGAAAACTGTTAGAGGCTCAATAAGCATGTATCTGATAGTAGGCATTAATTTTGAGAAAGTTCATGACTCAATTCTCAACACGAAAACAACCCTAAACATACAGCAGAAGCTGCACTGGACTGCTAAGATCAAAGATCTTTGTGTCTTTGAATGGCCCAGTCAAAGTCCAAACCTAAATCTGCAGCAAGACTAAAAGACTGATATTCTCCACTGATAGTGACTGAGCTGCAGTTATTTACATAAATCTTGCCTTGTAGCTTCTAGATTAGGGGTCTTCAAAATTTTTCAGGCCAAGGATCCCCAAACTGATTGCGATATGGAGCGGGGACCCCCTAATTACACTGATTATATGAAGTTGTGTTACATCAAACTGGTCCTATAGTCACTCTATTACAGATGGAGTAATGTAACGAAAAGTAATTTCTCCCTGGGATTATTGAAGTATTTCTGATTGTGATTCCTGGTTGATGGGACAGGTGTTGTGAATGAAACGGTGCCCAGCTTGAAAGAGCTCCTGTGTGTCGCTGAATGCATTGAAGACTGAAAGACATCTTCTGCCTCCATTTATCTGTTTACTACAGTGTGTTGAATTCATGTTAATTTGTATTTAAAGACATTGCAATTAGTAGAAAAAAATTGTAGGAGGGAATATATAAAAAAAGTCTAATCAACTTTTGCGACCCCCATGCAGTACCTCCGAGGACCCCCTGTTGAAGACCTCCAGTTCCTCTGGAGCAGGGGTGTCAAACTGGTTCCAGAAAGGGCTGTGTGGCTGCAGGTTTTCTTTCCAACCAAGCAATAGCACACCAGACTCCAGTCAACTCATCAAGGGAGTCCAATCTGAACATGATGATATGAATGGAGTCTGTTGTGCTATTGTTTGGTTGGAAAGCCACATGGCCCTTTCTGGAACCAGTTTGACACCTGTGCTCTAGAGGAACTGACTCTGCAGACCTCTGGTTTTTTAATTTTTCTTTTAATATTGCTAATAACATCTCTTAATGTCCTCTTCACAACTATTCTCTAATTTGTTTTGGTCCCTTTCACAGAAGCCCGAAAAATGTTAAACATGAGGTAATAGAAAAGATTCAACATGTATAAACATTGTTATTTTGTACCAACTAGTTGGATTGCAATGCTTTTATAAACAGTGTGCATGTAGGCCACTTTTTCCATTTGTATACATAGGAAAGAAAGAAAACCGAAACAAACCGGCGTCAGAAAAGGGGGCTTTACCGGAGACAAACGGGGTTCTGGAGAGGCCATAAATGCCGATAAGGAGAAGAACCAGCAGGACCAGCCTGGTTCTCCTCAATGAGTCTGTCAGAAAGAAAAAAAAAGCAAAGAAGAACAGCTCTTATTGCCATCATTCAGTTCAATAAAAAGAGAGCAGACATCGGAACATACTGTGCTTCTTGTTACTCTCATTTGGCTCAATAATCCACACACCTTGTGTTCTCTGAGTTAAAGCTTGAGACCTCATGAACCCGTCAGTGAAACCTGTCTTGAACGCCTCCTGCTGGTTTTCGGGAAGGTTCCTCAGTTTAACCACTTGGTCCAAAGACTGGATGTCTGCCCCCTTTTCCCTCAGGAGCAAACCCTGAAAAAAGGCAGTAGAGTAAGTCAATCGCTTTGATTTTCCAGCCAGAAAGTCTGTAAGAACTCTTGGCTGAAATAACCTAACCTCTAATAATAAAATAAAAAATATATAACACTGCTGTAATAAGAGTGTTTTTAAAAAAGTGCAAACACTGCTTAAAAAAAAAGGTTCAAATCATCTGTTTAATACCAAGCATACCTTCATGAAGGCTGGGGTGTAAGCCTCGGATTCCACTGGACCATCATAACCAGAATCAACTCGTCTGGTCTTTGTTCTAAGAGTTTTGAACCCCCGGCTCTGAAGCAACACTACAAGGAATAAAATAATACAAGACAGATGTAATGACCTTTAATGGATCCCTTCAATGTAGAATAAATCTTGAACCACTTTATGAATATTTCTCACCAGGCAAGAACTGCAGGTCAGAGCAAACCTCCTGGAGAGGGCTATGGTAGCGACGGTGGAATAACTGAGAGCCAGAACCTAATAATCTTCTTTGTGAATAACCTTTGTAAGGAGGAAAAAAAAGGTTTTAGGGCTTCTTTTCACAAATAATACTGAACTAAAACAGCAGACCAATCAGTGGAGATTCTCACCATGTTTGTTTTGAAAGAAGTTGTCTGCGGAAACGTGACTGGTCTTCCATATAGAGGTAACCGTAGGAGGTTCTTCAGGACTCGGTGTGGGCAGTAAACTGCTAACCAGCTCATTCAGCTGACTCCCCTGGATCTCTGAAAGACCAAGATCCCTCAGACTGACACTAGGCTGGAAACAAACAGGAGCAGAAAACTGATTAAACAGGGGCGCAAAGAGGCAGGGTGTATAGCTTTGATATGTCTTATGGGTAGCTGACCACAGCTTACCCTGTTTCCTAAGGATACGAGTTGGAATGTCAGTTCAATTTTCTAATTGATAAATCTCTCGTACATCTGCTGACTTATATATATTCAAAATAATTAAAAACTTAGTTTTAGAACTCAATGGAAACATGAGACACATATTATAGATTAATGGACACAGGTTGATCTATTTCAAGCATTTATTCCTGTTTGGTAAATCGTTAACTGGGGCATAGAGACTCTAAAACATGCCTTAGCTCACAGAGCGACCCACTTAAAACAGTAGTTATATCAAAATTGAATAAAATATATAAACATTTTGTATTTAAGATTAGAAAAAAAAATGTCATATGTAAATATACTCTATTTAAAACTCCTGAAGTGAAAAGGTTTTAGTTTCAACTGGTTTAATTTAGTAAAAAATCTTATTTAAGGAAGCTTTGGCTATCCAATTATTAATCGGAAAATAATCAACAGATTAATCGATTCATAAAATAATAACTTAGTTGCAGCCCTAGTTCTTTTGAGCGGTGACGGAAGTGTCCGGAACAGTGCATATAAATACACTATAATATCATTATTATAAGTGATAGCACAATAATAACAAAGACTGCTGAGTTGGCCGCTGTCCAGCAGACAGCCACTGATAAGCAGTGTCAGTGAGGGTAAGTTACCAAAGGTCATTGCTAAAAAATCTCCCTTCTCTCAGAGTGCTACATCCAAACAGCTGAGGAGTAGAAAGGGATCTTCAGGGAAAGTACAACTATGACATTTATTTTCCTCTTTTAAACTGAAACCTCATCAAAAATGTCTTGAACAGAGACGGAGAAAATGGACAGGAATGTTGTTCAGTGGTGCAAAGTTTGGTTTTCAATCATAAAAACCAGAAAAAGCCACCTAGAAGTATATTTTGTATCACATTTAGAAATGAATGTCTCAGAATCAGGAAAAAAAAGTGTTGAGGAAAACAAGACGGGAAATCTGAGGTTTGGAGTGACATTTTTGGAGCCATTAGATCTGCAGGTGTTGGTCTGTTTTAAGCTTAGTCAACAGCCAAGTGGGGTCAGCCGTCAACCAGGGAACTGCAGAGAACTGCCAGCTTACCTCTGCTGACAGGCTTTATTGAAAAGCTGATAATCATTGGTGCCTGCCCTCACTGCCAAAGGTACTTCGCCAGCTTTAATGACCTCGGCATCACTGAGCCTGAATGGCCAGCAAACTCACTTGACCTTAACTCCATAAAGATTGAAGCAACCTGTACTCCGTTAAAACTCATGACACCCACAGACTGACCGCCTCCGTTCCACTGAGCAGTTAAGCATTACAGAAAAGCCCCTAGCAAACGGCACTAATCTGATATTTTTGTATCAACAGTGTTGTGTAATATTCTAATTTCCTCAGAAACTGAATATCTTTTTTTTACCTGTGAGACAACATTTAAAACACGGCTGGCTAGCTCAAGTGGAAGTCACCTGACTCGCAGACAGGAGGCCCTGGGGAATGAGCTGCCAGTGTGAATCCTTAGGCAAGACCCTTCACGCTAATGCATATGCTAAATACATAAACATCAATGTGCCTTTCAGCAGAAGACAAAAAGAACCAAATGACCAAAGCCGCAGGCAAAATCTGACAAGAGAAACACAAAAACCTAAAGACACTCTCTACTGGACACCATGCATTGCCAAATTGAGCTCTGATCATCCAGTAAGCGATGCAGATGCCCAAAATCAAGGTCCAAGAGATGGAGAAAAATCTTTATTACTTAGGGTTTAATGTAGCTAGATTTCTAAGATAATTTCTCTTTAAAAGATTGTTTTAAATAATTTTCTTCCCTCATCCTGCTGTTACAAAGTTTAATCAACTCTGCTACTTTGTTTTGAACTGCCAGCAGGACATACTATCCAGCAATTATAACTGAAGTAGAGTGATGCTAATGATTAAAAAATACAAATGTTAGCTTTTTGAACTGAATCTGATGTTTTTACAAAGTTAAATGACTGTGAAGCACCTGAATATATGCCTATCACCTATATTCTGTTTTGTTTTTTTTAGTTTGAAACTTGTATTTGAAGTCCTTTCTGTCATTTTGATTATAAACCATGTTATATAAACAACATTTTATTGCATCATCCTAACCATTAATGTAAAACCCCAAAACATATCCGTGCAAAGTGAATGTGTACCACCCAGCTCACCTCTTTCAGGTATGAACTGTGCTCCTGCCTGAAGTCTTTGTGCAGAGAGTGAACAGAAGCTGTAGCAGAGGTCTTCAGCGAGTGGAGGGCGTTGACGACCTGGCTGATAGGCACTACCATCTGTGAGAGCATGAAGACAGGAGGTTGAATAACAACTCTCACCATACGATGATTCAATGTGACACGGTTAACCCCGAGGCAATTTATATCCATTAATCGTTCATATTAGTTAATGTGTAATAATCTTAAAATAGGTCCTGTAAACAGGACCGCAGGTCACTACACCCGTTTTATTTATTTTTTCTTGTAGGTAATGGACAAGTTGTATAACATCTCAATAAATAGATTTTAATATTGCCATATGTTAGTATAATAACTAAAACAAAAATTAAAACCTAAAGCTGTAAAGGGTCAAAATGACGTAAGCATCTGCTCATCTGGACGTAATCTAACGTTGACAAGCTACACCGTTAGCATTAGCATTAGAACAAAAAACACAACTAAAACAACCGGTACTCGAATATGTGACTCTTATTGGTTATATTCTGAATATAAAGTCAACAATTTAAAATAAAAAAAACGTTAAAAAATGTCGAAAAAACGCAGACAAGCTAGATAAGTTCGCAATATATCCCCATTTAGTCGGCTTACATACCTGCTGAAGCTGAAATGATGCCGACAGAGAAAACATTTTTCTCCCGCAAATATAAGCCAGAATTTGCCTTTTAGGGAGGTTAGATGTGTGGACAGAATCACAATGAAAGGTTGGCGACCGAGTCCTGCTCGCAGAGATGTCCTTTTTGATTCTGTCGTTACACAACTGTCGACAGTTACACAACTTTTCTTTTAGCTAACATCGGCAAATGGATTCTCCCCCCGGCTTCTGAGGTCAAATGGACTACAAAATGACGCAGGTACAGAGAAGTGGCATCCTTGCATCGCCTGATTGATTTTTTTTTATTTTTATATCAAGCCTGCTTAATTAACATTCGGTTTTTTAATGTTCGGCTAAAATATTTTAGAACGTGTCCCCTGAATATATCCTACTTCTTGACTGACTTTTTTACATAGCAAATTTTGCTGCAGAAATGGGTTTCTGCAGCGTCTCAGGCATATATAGATATTACCCAAGTGTAGTCGCCATATTGTGAGTGGCATGTTGTTGCATTTGGCCAATTATGTATACTGAAATTAATTCCAGGATGTGTTTTTTTTAAGTGGAAAATAAATTTGGATTAACATAGCCAAATCTATGGACATCATTTTTCTTCTTTTTAAGTCATGAATTAAATTGGATTATTAACATTGGGTTGAATTTCACTAGTAACAGAAGAAAGAAAAAACACACTTAAGTAGACTCTGACATCATCAAATAGGTATGAAACAAAATTACAGATAATTCCATATTTTAAGGACAAAAAGAGATGCTTGTATCTATCAAAATACAAGGAGTGATATTTCTTAGACTTTGGGAACCAATGAAACGCTCTGCTGCTAACTAGTTATGGAACACCTGTGAAAGTTACCAGTGCTGGATGGCATATTAAAATTATTCCAACGGTGCATCGGTGGCTCCTCTACGTGGTCATGAAGGACTACAGAACTACAACATCTAAAGCATTGCTATTAACCCTATTGGTGCTAAGGAATCAACAATAATATATATACTGGTATATATTATAATAAAGATAGCAGGCTCTGAGGTAGAGACTTGGAGAATTTGCCGATTTTGATAGAATAAAAATATTATGCAATGGAGAAAAAAAACCTGAAAGAGAATCCCATTCCAGGTGTTGTGATTTTACCTTAAAAAGACCAATCATGCTGTGAAATTCTCCACCCTTGCTGCTTTCAAATAATTCTACAAAGAAAGGTAGTAGGAAATTCCTCTGGAAGGATGTAAAAAAATCAGTTCATGAATTCAAGCTTACCTTAAGGAATGTTAACAAATATTTTATTTTTCAATAAAGAATCTTTTGCCAATTTGTCGGTAATTTCATTTTTTAAATACAAGAATGACCAGGAGTCCCGGACAGGATAACCTTACAACTAGCAAGCTCAATTATACATAGACAACACAAGCTATTTAACCCAAGATCTGGACATGCCCCTTTTGAATTCCCTTGTCAATGGCTGTAAAACATAATATTTGTGACATACAAGTGATTTGTTAACTTGAACCTATTCCAAAAGCGCACCAAAATTGCAGATGACTGCAGAATACACAGAAGATCACTTTTTAACTTTGGAACCTTACTTACTCATAATATAAACCCAAAAACCCGTCCTTCCACTATTTAGGATCTTTTAATTATCCATCTGTAAAAATATGACAAACCTGATCTAGAACTAGACTGAAAGACCATTTAAAGGCTTTTGCAGGTGGTTTGAGTTAATTAGCTGATTAGAGTGTGGCACCAGGGGCCATCAATTTTGAACCTTTTCACAATATTCTAATTTTCTGATATGATGAATTTGAGATTTTCATTTGTTGTCATTTGTAATCATCAAAATTAAACAAAATAAACATCTGAAATATATGAGTTTGTATGTAATGTATGAATATAATATACAAGTTTCACTTTTTAAATGGAATTACTGAAATCAATCTACTTTTTCATGATATTCTAATTTTATGACCAGCACCTGTATAAATAAGCCACAGGTGAGCTGTCTGTCTGGAGTACAATGGAGGAGCAAGAAGAAGGAGGATGTGGAGGGGAAGAAGAGGAGACCAGATATCATGTGAGGAAATGTTAGTTTCCACGGGGCTGCTTTGGTCCACAGCTGGTTTACAGATCCCCCACTCTTCACTGCATTCAACCTCCCTCCATACTCTCCATTCTGGAATCTTATTGAAGAGTTCTTCTCTACCTGGCGCTGGAAGGTCTATGACCATCATCCCCATCATTTTACAGGCAGCGGAGGAAGCATGTCAGGCCTGGATGCAGCATTCAAGGAGATATTTTCCCCGGTGCCTTGGATAAGACATGAAGTCTTGTGGCCGGACCCAAAGCTGGTTGTGTTAACTGATACGAAAATATATATATATATATTTTTTAAGGTATAAAGAGTTAAGCAAGGTTCGTTAGCTTTAGCAAGAAACCTAAAATGTTTTGCTGATTTGGTGAAAGGTTTTCTTATTTGTGTCTAGAGTTTTGCAAAAATTGCAAATAGTTATAACAATTGTGCTTAAGCCATAAGAAAAAAACCCAACTAATTAATTTACAGAATTCCTTTTTCTGCACCATCTTTACAGGCTTTTCCCTCTCCAGTCAACTTTTTATTCAAATTTCAAACTTTTTGTAAAGTCGACTCATGATTTGGAGCAACACTTTTCTATTTTGAATTATTTTTTTTCAGTTGATACCTAATGACTTTTTGTTTCCTGTGTGCATTAATATAACTTGACACAGATGCTCTGTTCTCTTAAAGAGTAAGGAAAAAGTTACCATTAAGTGAAAACAAATGTGCATTTATGTTAATATTCACCAAATAGCTAAAAAAAAAACAAAAACAAAAAAAAACGGCTCCTTAACTAATCGACCCCATAACCACAGTAATATTAAATAGCGGGGATGCATCGATGTTTTGCTTTCTTTTACATTGAATATTATAAGCTATATTATAATGTATAACACATAAACATTTAACTGAATCTGTTTAGGTGATGAGTTAACCTATTTGAAGGAAAAATCAATCGTTTTTCATAAATAGAAATGTTATTTCTATTTACTACACAAAGTAAAACATAGAAAATAAAAGCCGACTTCAAAGTTTCTAAATAAACACTAAATGCTTATATTAAATAAAAGACCCTTTGTCAAAGGTAATTTCTGCTTGCTACCATTTTAACCTGCAATTAAGGGATTTGGTTCCAGGTTAGACACACTGAGCCAGAACAATGTCCCCTTGTTTTTTTCCATTGACTTGTCCCAGTATTTATAAGCCGGCACCAGGTTTAAGAAAAGCTGCAGAAGGTTCAGATCTGACTGGAAACCAAGAAGCATTAATATGAAAATGCTTTCATTTAACTTCTTTTAAACAACATTTTTGTGTCAAAGTAATGGAGGACACAGATGGAGATGTAGCTGTTATCGGAATAGGATGTAATTTCCCAGGAGGTAAGACTTTTCTGGTTGCACAAGGTTTCATTCAATTGTAAAGGATAAATTGATGTTATCTCCTTGCACTTTATGTCAGGTGAAGGGCTGGATAATTTCTGGAAGGTCTTAAAGGAGGGAAGGAACTGTGTGGTGGATATTCCAGCTGATAGGTTCGATGGGACCTTCTGGCAGGACTCGGACGTCAACAAGCCTGGAAAGAGCCAAACAGCAAAAGCAGCTCTTATAGAGGGGTGAGGCAGCTAATCAGGTCTGTTACAGTGTCAGACGAAAAGCAGTTCCCCAGCATGACGCTTCAAACACCATGTTTTGTGGTGAGGATGATGTTTTCAGGGTATTGTGTAACAAATATGTGTTGTAAAGTCACTGCTCCTTCTGTTTATTAAAAGGTAATAGACCGAAGGGGAATCAACACTAGTTAATTATACAATTTTTTAATTTTTCTTTAAGTCTTATTAGATATAAACATATTTCAATTAAAATCATCTGTTCCAATCCATTTAGAGTACCACCCCTAAAGAACGCAGGCAATAGAGCACCATGCAAGTGAATGTGAACTTTTTGAATTTCATTTAAAACATTAAGTTCTTAAAAACTTGCAATGAATTCCACCGTGTTTGCTGTTCTAACATGACAACAGTGGGAAAAGGAACCAGATATTTTTATAGGGCACTGTTTTCTCATGACTGAGTTATGACAAAACTATTTTGAATTTGTTTTTTTAGGTTTAACGAGTTTGATGCCAGATTTTTTGGGATCCCTGAAGTAGAAGCAGACAACATGGATCCTCAACAGAAGCTTCTCCTGCAGTGCACATTCAGGGCCTTAGAGGATGCAGGGTTATCGATGGAGAGCATCAGTGGAAGCAGAACTGGCGTTTACATTGGTAATTCCTCTGATATATGGCGTTTTGAATCCAGAGATGATGAATTATGTCATAACCCCCTCTGATTTAATAATACAGGTTTGATGAACAGAGACTATGAGATGATCAGAAATAACAATCCAGCGACGATAAGCCACTACAATGCCACGGGGACATCCATGAGTGTTGCAGCAAACAGGATTTCCTTCATCTTTAACCTCACCGGCCCTTCCCTGGCTATTGATAGTGCCTGTTCCTCCTCACTGGTGGCTTTGCATGTAGCCTGTCAGGCCATAAAGCAAGGTAGGAATGCTTTGGTTCTAAATAACTAATTAGTCTGTGTTTAGAATCAGCTTTCCATACTTTTTGTAGGACATCCCAAACACATTGTATTCAGATGTTCTGCACTTTGATAAGAATTCCCTTGAATCCATTTGAGTGTCTTTTACTGAATTGATCTCTGAAAAGTTTTTAATTAATCAAATCATGTCTTAAATTAATCTAAAATAAGTGGGAGAAGATTAGGGCCATAAAAATGGCCACTAAGTAAAACAAAACAGGCAATTGATTTCTGATGTTTATCTCAAAATTCTGAGTTTATTCTCAGAATTGTGACCTTAATCCCTGAATTATTCTCATAGAATTAGGACTACTTGTAACATTCCTACATTATGGAGATGATAATCTTGGGATTTGGTAAAGAGTCTTTATTATAATTCTGAGATTTAAGATCAGATGTCGGAAATTAAAGTAAGAATTCTGTGAATAAAGTCAGAATTCAACAGCCTTTTTTTATTTTGAGTGAACTGTTTTAGTGGTTCTAATCCTCCTCTGTGCATAAGACTAACTGTCCAACAAATCTTTAGAAGCTGCCATTTCTGTCTCTCCATTCACCACTGGGTAGCACTGCTGTCTCTGTAGGACAAACAACAAGCGCTGTACCTTTTATTGTATCTGCCAGAACAAAATAACTTTATGACTATATTAAACTTTAAAGTTGGTTAATTGAAACCCAGGCCCAAACCATAGTAGGACCCTCACCATGCGTTACAGATTAATATAGACATCTTGAGCAAAACACTGAATTGGCTTAAAGTTTTAGTTAAATATGTAAACCAAAATAGAATCTATTTTTTTATGTTATGTCCACCAGGCTTGTTTGGTGGGGGTAACATTAAAGGAGACCACACAAGGATTTTCTTTAAAGTGAAAATTGAATTTATTAAATTATACTAAAGAAACAATACCTGAAAATGGATTAATAAAATAGGAAACAGAAAATGGCTTAATGCAAAACCAATAACTAAACAGAAATAAGCAAATGCAACCAAACCTAACAAAACCCAACCTTAGGACAGGATACAAACCAAACCAAGCCAAACAGGGTTCTGAGGAGGTAAGAGAGAGAAGCCTCTTGTCTGCTGCTTGCATGACAGCTTTTAAAGCAGATGAGCACCAATTAGGGCAAAACAGAACACCTGCAGAAGGCCTGCATCCAGAACCCTGCAAGGAAAAGTGGAGAAACCCACTGCAGCCGTAGCATTTACAAAACTATCATCGTGTGATGTGGGACATTTGGGAAAAAGATTTCCGTGTCCAATTTATGGTATATATTGTTTGTTATGTGGAGTTAGTGATCCTTCGGGATAAATAGCTTATTTTCTTGATTTTATGCCAGAGTTAATTGACTTCTGAATCTGAAAATTGTCAGATATTGCACCAAAATAAGTAGGAAATAAAATAGATTTAATTTACAAAAAATTTTTAAGATATTTAAAGGAGAATTCCGGTTTTTAACACTTTTAGCCCATTTTCTGTAGTGTCCAGGATGAAATCGAATGATCGAAACCAAAATTTTGACAATTGGGCCATCTGTGCGCCCTCCTGGCGCACGGATCCCACCTGCATCTCCCCTGGCAGCGCGTCCGTCTCTGTCACCTGCAGATTCCGTTCTCCTTCTCCTTTCCTTCAGACTCCTTTTATGTCGGCTTTAATCAGCCCTTGCTCACACCTGAGCGCAGCAATTACGCAGCGCAATTAATGCACTCCGCCTCCTCAGACAACTACTTCAGTCCAGTGCGCATGGATTGTCACAAGGGAAAAACAAACCAAAACAACCCAACATGCAGGAAAAATTCAAAAGTCTAAAATAAAGGAAAACAATCATATAAAAAATAAACATCAAAACATGCAAAGCTCAAGAAGAAAATACAAAGAAAAACAAATCATATCTTCCTCTCCAAACATGCAAAGCATAAAACTAACATTTAAATGAAAGAAAACCATAAACCATATTTTTCCCTGTGCAACACACTGACGTCACTGACGCAACAGTACGTGGACGGCAGGATTGTGATTGCTTTTTTTTCCCACAGTCCTCATTTTCAAAAAAAGAGCAGACATTTACTGCTAAAACTAGAAAAAGTTGTAACCACAAATGTCAGGTAAATACTGTAAGAAAATGCAAAATTTATCTGGAAACTTTTTTTTTTGCGTGTGCTTTTTTTAATTGTATTTTTCATTTAGCAGTTCAAGATAATGATAATTCCATAGATATAATAGCGACCTTTAAGCTACCGTCTCAGTGACGGAGATGAAAACACAAGGAGAAACAAGCAAGCACGAAAATTATTGCACTTTTTTAAATGAATCAAGTGATTAGAATTTTTTGTGCGATTAATTGATTATTGCGACAGGCCTTCTCAAGACTTGAGACTTGACTTGGACTTGAGCTCTCAAGACTTGAGACTTGACTTGGACTTGCAAAAAATGACTTGTGAACATGTCTGCCTCACTCTCCATCTCTCTGTGTGTGCTGTACGTTAACACCCACCAGCAGAAACACCCACCTATTCAACTGACAGACGGAATCTCATCCTCCCCTCTCTCATGACAAGGCGCGCACCTCTGGATGACCTAAAAAATTATCTTTAATATCTCTTAAACAAAAGTAGCACAAACAATATTTTTTTCTGCACAAATCTGCATTAACGTTGCACTAACCATTCAGTGTATTTGCAGAGTTTTTTGACGTGGGTGGGGTGTCAGCTTCACGCAGCTGCGCACGAGTCCCATCATGAAAAAAGGTTCATTGTGCGACCTGAGTAACGCGCAGTAACGGGGTGTCTGCAATGGTAACTGCGTTATAGTTACAGTCAAAGTAATTAGTTAGATTACTCGTTACTAAAACAAGGTAACGGCGTTAGTAACGCCGTTAGTTTCAACGCCGTTAGTCCCATCACTGCTGTTAAACACTTTAAAAAACTCTGAAAATGGAATACGAAAGGTGGATTCTTGATTCTCGACGTCGGAGTACACAGAGTGAAGCGAAAAGACTACAACTGTGTAAACAGGCCCCATTTCCGTTTCCGGTGGCAGGGGAATATTGACTATTCCAACAGAACTCAATGGGATTTACAAAATGCTAAATAAAACACTACAGGAACGTTTTTTCTTTACGAAACTTTTTTTGGAACGTCATTGAACAGCGCTGACGACCCGGTGAGTAGCATATTTAAAAAAAAGAACGTTTAAGGTTGTTTTAAGGACAATATCGGACATGCACAATGGAAGCCATTCTGAAGCAGCCAGGGGGGGATTCTGCATGAGCCAAAAAGCAGAGACAGGACCAATTGTCAAAATTTTGGTGTCGATCATTCGATTTCATCCTGGACACTACAGAAAATGGGCTAAAAGTGTTAAAAACCGGAATTCTCCTTTAAAACTCCTGTAGATCATATAATGACAAGCATTTCAAAGAAGATCTGGGCTAAATAAGGATCAAAGTTAGGATTGTTTAACAATTAAGTTCATTTTTCTTCTAAATTTCAATTGTAACTTTTTTTTTTTTTCCACAGGAGACTGTGAGATGGCCCTCTGTGGGGGAGTCAACTGTATAATAGAGCCCAGAGTGTTTGTTGCTCTCAGCAAAGCAAGGATGATCTCACCTGAGGGAACCAGTAAACCTTTCTCCATCAGAGCAGACGGCTATGGAAGAGGAGAAGGCTGTGGTGTTGTGCTCCTAAAGCCTCTAAAAAAGGTATTTTCATGGCCTTTTTGCCCGACCGTTATCAGTAGTTTCTTTGATAGGACAATGATTGATTTTTAAGATAGAATTCATGCAAAAACACCTCCCTTATACCTACCAGTTTATTTTTTAAGTACCTTTATAGAACATTTTGGGTGAAATATCTGGAAAACGTGGAGGATTTCAAGCACAAATATCTTGCAAATGAAACTAACTAATTTTACTCTTTATTGTTGATTACAAAAGATGTTTTCTATCTATAGCATCATTAAGACTGTTTGAAAAACAAAACCCGATCAGCAAATCCACATTTATATTACAGCTAGTTGATATAAACAGTATATATTGGTTTTGGGAGGGACCTTTAAAAATGAAAACAATTAGTTGGGTATTCCCTAATTTTATTTTTTAAATTTCCAATAAAACAATATTCTGGATTTTTAATCTGTAAAATGTGAAAAAAAGGAAAATTGGTGAAACCTACAAAAACTGTAAATAATTGGATGTAATCAAAATACCAAATCGGTTTTTCTAAGATTTTAAATGAGGTTTTATCGCTATTTCATACAACTGAACTATAACCTTGATGGGTTTAAGTCTTGAAAACCTTAAAGTTGTTGATTCTTCCATTTGATTGTTTCTTTCCTTGATGTAATTGTGTCTCTTGGAGTAACTTAAGTCTTCATCATTTATATAGTTTGTATAAAATGTTAATTACTTTTTCTTTTAACTGCAAACTTTATACTTGCAGGCCTTAAAAGAAAACAACAAAATATGGGGTGTGATCTTAAAGACTGCAGTTAACCAAGACGGACATTCAGTGACTCCTATCACCAAACCCTCAGTGACACAACAAGAGGAGTTGCTCAGAACAATATACTCTGACAGTGACATAAAAAATGTCCAATACATCGAAGCTCATGGGACTGGGACTCCAGTTGGTGACCCAACAGAGGCAGAAAGCCTCTCAAATGTTATTGCCCAAACCAGACCTCCAGGCGCTGAGATGCTGCGGATAGGCTCGGTGAAGGGCAACATAGGACACACTGAGTCTGCAGCTGGGATCGCTGGATTGATCAAGGTACTCCTAATGATGAAGCACCAAACTATTGTTCCCTCAGTTTTCTACTCTGGTGACAGTTCAAGTGTAGATACAAAAACTCTTAAGTTAAAAATTCCAAAGGAAATAGAAAGATGGGATGCAAATCAACCATCGGGAAGGGTAGCTGGGGTCAACAGTTTTGGGTTTGGGGGAACAAATGCACATGTCATCTTAAGAGATGATAATCATCAAGTAGTTCCCACAAAGGCTTGGCAGAAACTCTTTGTTTTGTCAGCTGCTTCTGAGAAATCACTGATACTGACCACAATTGACACCTACCAAAGACTGTGCAGTAGTCCTATGCTTGACTTCCATGCAATTTCGTACACCTCAGCATGTGGGAGGAGTCACTTCAAACACAAATATCGAAAAGCCTTTTTAACATCTTCCCCCTCAAATTTACAACAACAGCTAAAATCTGCACAAAAAACAGAGGTACAATCGGTACAGTCTAACCTCCAGGTGGTCTTTGTATTTTGTGGAAATGGGGTTTGTTACAAAGGTATGTGCAGGCAGCTCATGGAGCAAGTTCCTGCTTTCAAAGAGAAGATCAAAGAAGTTGAATTTGCCTTTCAGAAACACACTCCCATCAGAATCAGCGAATTGCTTGAGTGTGAATTTCAGGATATTGATATTAGTCAGCCTAGTATTATCCAGCCTATTCTTTTTGCAATTCAAGTTGGGATTGCGACTCTGCTGAAGCACTGGGGTATTAAACCCAAGGCCATGCTTGGCCACTCTGTTGGAGAGGTCGCTGCAGCTCACTGTTCAGGTCTTTTGTCTCTTGACGATGCAGTGAAAGTGTTGCACCATCGCAGTACTTTTCAGAGTTCTGTCACAGGAGGAAAAATGCTTGTTGTCAGCAATATAGCTGTAGAAAGGATCTTAGAAATGATACCAGACTTTGTTGGAAAGATCTGTGTTGCTGCTTTCAACAGCCCTCAGTCATGCACTTTGTCAGGAGATGCAGATTCAGTTGATGACCTCCATGAGAGGCTGAGGTTCAAATTTGCAGATAAAAATGTGTTCCTTCACATCTTGGATGTCCCTGCTGCTTACCATAGCCATATGATGGAACCAGTTCTAGACAATATTGAAAGGAGCATAGGTCTTTTGAATACTGGAAGCATGGACTGTCAATTATTTTCCACAGTTTCTGGAGAGAGATTTTCAAATGGTGATTTCAGTTCTGGTGCCTACTGGGCAAAGAACATTAGGGAGCCTGTTTTATTCAAGAAAACTCTTTTGTCTGTCCTAAAGGAGAAACAGGCTAAAGAAAATGTGGTCTTTGTTGAAGTAGGTCCTCGAATAGCTCTCCAGAGGTACATATATGAAACTCTTGGAGATGAAACAAAGGTTCTCCCCTCTGTCCACCGAAAGAAAGACTGTGAGTCTATCTCCTCGACTCTGACGCAACTGTTTGAACTTGGCATTAACATACTCTGGGAGGAGGTCTTTAGGGGTTGCGAGACAATACCTAGTACTGTACCAGTCTACCAGTTTGACAACACAAAGAGCGAAGTGAATTTTGAAGTCTTGAGAGGAGGTAATGAACACTCTTCTTTTTTTTGCAATGGATTTGAGTTCCAAATAAAGCAGGACAACAAAGAATTCTCATATGAACTTTCTTTGAAGACTGTGCCCTATCTTTGGGAGCACAAAAACAACAACGTTGCAGTTGTCCCAGGGGCATTTTATGTTGACTTAGCCTATGCCTTGGTGATAGCAAACCTGAAGCCAAAGAAGCCTGTCTCACTGCTCAATCTAGGTATAAAATTTGAGAGTGTTCTTACTCTAAACTCAAATTCCAGGAAGCTGACGATGATGCTTGAGCAATCAGAAACAGAGGCCATGTTTAAAATACAGTCGTCGGTTGCTACACACGCCTCTGGCACATGCAGGTACAACAATCAAACACCAATTTTAGAGGAAGAAACCATTTGTCTTGATGTGATTCACCAAAGGTGCCAATTGGTTCTGACACGACAGGAAATATATTCAGTTCTCTATCAAGCTGGATTTGAATATGGGCCACTTTTTAAGCATTTGGATGATGTTTGTTTTGGGAAGAAATACAAGGAAGCTGTGACTACTTTTCAGGTTCCTGGTGAACTTTGGACAAGTCTCCATGATCATTACATTCACCCTGTGCTGCTGGATTATTTTATCCAAATGGCTGCAGTGGTAGCAATGGGACAACATGGAGCCAAGAAGGGATTTCCATCACAAATCGCAAGTGTTGCTATATCAGAACCCCTGCAGGAGACAATGACCATGTACCTTTGTATAGCCCAACAAACTGAAGATTTCCTTGAGGTTTGTGGATGCTTTGCAACCACAGAGGGGAAGGTTTTAGTAGAATTTAAGGGTGTAAGAATTACATTTTTGTCCCCTCATCCAGAAGTCTCTCAGTCATTGTTTTTTCACAATGAAACAGATAAATTGGCAAAACAGGTAGATGTTGAAGGCTTTGGAATAAAAGCAATTATTTTTGAAGATCAACTTGGCATTGGTAAAGGACTAAAACCTTACATAAGCCCTGATTCAGTGTTTGTAGGGATCAGAAAGACGTTAAGACCTTTTGAAGTTAAAAACCTTGTGTTTCAATCACTGAATAGCGATTTCCATTTGAACACAGTTCTCTTCATTTGGGGTGTGGAGAACCTTACTCATTTGTCCTCCGAAAAGATCCTGGAGAGATTTGTGACTTGTTGTGAGGTATTTCGTCAGATTGTTTTGGCTGTCAAAGAGAGCAAACGTTTGTGTACCCTCAAGGTCATCACATACAGAGCCACAGAAATGACAGTAGACCATGTTAGTCCTGGTTTTGTCCTCTCTGGCATAATGAGGTCCTGCTCAGCTGAGATTGCAGATATTCATTTCCAGCATATTGATCTGGCTTCAGGGACAGAGGAAGACATCCAAACCCTGGTTCATGTAATTAAAGCTAACCATCAACACGAAATAAGGATCAGCAAAGGGCAGGCATCAACAACGAGAATAGTTCAAACTCCTGTTAAAGACTGTGACTTATGTGTAGAGCCAATAAAAGCCAGCCAGCTTAGAGACTTTGTCCTACAGACTACTGATCCATATCGAACAACCAATTTGTATCCAATATCTACCATTAACACCGATAGAAATCCTGTCCCGGAAAGTTCAGTAAAAATTCAAGTAAATAATGTCTGTGTGCACACCTCAGACTACTTTCCAGTCAGTACTTCCCATTTCAAATTTGGCAGAACATTCTACTGGAACAAATATGTGGCACAGAATCATGACCTCCTGGCTTTAGATTTTAGTGGTATTGTCTCAACCGTTGGTAGAGACGTAAAAACACTAAGAGTGGGAGACCATATTGCTTCATGTTATCCAGTTCCTGCAGCATCAGAGATCTTGATTCCCGAAGCAGTGTGCTACAGTACAAAAGCTCTGCCCTTCTTCCGAGAAACACCATGCGTATCCTATTTCATCCTGGCATGGGAAATCCTGCAGAGGCTGCTGTGTGAAGTTAGGAGAAGGCAGAAAAAGTTGGCAATAATCTCCTCTGATTCAGCCGCTGTCCTAATACAAGTTCTTGCCGTTACAGCAAACAGGTCAGGCTGGGCCGTTTCCTGTCAAGCTAATATCTCTAAGGAATTGATTCATTTTGATGCTTTGCTTTTTCTTCCTCCATTTGATCAATCAATTGAAAGAATATTCGACATTGGTGACCCTGTAAAGCATGTAATTTTTGTCTTTAGCAGTCACATGTCACCCTCCACAAACAATGTTACATTTAAGGATAAAAACATTCATGTGCACCATCTTGATGTGGCTTATGTTCTCCAGAAAGCTAATCTACAAGCACAAACCAGAAATGTCTCCAAGTGGCTTCAGTCGCTAGGCCTTGATGCAGATTGTCTTCGTTATAGAAAGGAGCTATTTCATGAAAAAGAGGCTAAAACTGAGTCCTCTTTCACAACAGCAACAGTACAGAATATCATTATCAACAAAGAACGATTCAAGGGGCTGATATGTAGTCAAAGCTCTTTGCCTATGAAACCTGCACTTTTTAAAAAGGGATGTGTTTACATTGTAACTGGAGGTTTGTCTGGTTTGGGCTTTGAGACGGTTAAGTTCATCGCACAAAATGGTGGAGGCTGCATTGCAATACTGTCAAGAGGTGTTCCGTCAGATGAAATTCGCTTTCAGTTAGATCTTCTCCAGAAAATAAACGGGGTCACTGTCCTTAACATCCAGTGTGATGTCTCTGTGTCAATGCAGGTGGTGGATGCCATCAGCAAAATTGGAAAAAGATTTCCATCTAATCCAATTAAAGGAGTGTTTCATAGTGCTGCAGTCCTGCATGATGCACTCATTGAATCTCTTGATGAGTCTCTTTTCAGAAAAGTGCTAAAACCCAAAGTTTGTGGTGCTCTGAATCTCCACTTTGCAACATTCCACAACAAGTTAGACTTCTTTGTTTGCTACTCCTCCATCTCATCCTTCATAGGAAATGCCTCACAGTGTAACTATGCAGCAGCCAATTCCTTTCTTGATACATTCTGTCATTACCGGAGAAACCTTGGGCTCGCTGGACAGTCCATCAACTGGGGTCCTTTAAACCTTGGTCTGCTACTTCACAAAGACCACTTTCAGAAGTTCTTGGAGGCCAAGGGGATGATGACGATGGCTGTGCATGAAGTTCACGAGACACTTAAAAAGTGTCTGTTAATTAACAGGCCACAGCAAGTAATTTGCAAATTCAACTTCAAGAACCTCAGCTCACATGTCCTTTCACAAAATCCGTCTCTCAGAGAGCGAATGGGAGCTTTAGTGGAAACAGCACTGACAGATGAAATCCTTGAAAGACCTAATAAAGTTCAGCGATCATTTACAACTTATGACACAGTAAGGATAATAGTCAGTGAAATGCTGAATTTAAATGTTGGCAAAGTGGAAGATGACTCCTCTCTTTCAGCACTGGGCATTGATTCAATGTTAGCAATGACTTTGCAGAATAAAATCTACCAGGAGACAGAAATAAATGTACCTTTGATTACAATCCTAGACCCCAACACCACACTTGACACTTTAGTCAGTTTTGTACAAAACCACATTTAATTTATTACCTGTGCCTTCTTGTCATCTGCGAAAAGATGAAAACAACTGAAATGCTGTTCAAGTTTCACTGCAGAGCCTTTCTAAAACAATTACAGTGTTTCACCATAATCCCTGTTTCAGCGGTCAGGATTGGTAAAAATGACCTCTGTTGATTGTGGAATTCCTGACTTTCAGTGAAAATAGTTAGAGGCTTCTTTAGCTTTTTCAACAGCTCAAATGCTAGCTCATGAACAAAAAGGGATCAAGCAGATCTGCATTACAAATTTCATTATTTGCTGTCCTATATTCTGGGACTTATTTGATTTTTACAGACTTTGAAGTTTTTCTATAAAACATATTGAAATAAAGTGTGACATTTCGTTGAATCTACAAGTATGTTGTTTTTTTAAAATTGATTTTGCTAGATGAGTTGAGGAATGTACAAATAAGACTGCAATTGAGCAAACCAAAAGCACTTCTTTCCTCTAATGAGATTTAAAATATAAATATTCCAGCTGTAGAAAATAGTGAAAAGCATATGACAGTCAGATCATGTTTGTTAATAAAGCTAGCTACTGTGCCAATGGTAGCTCTTGCATAAAGTTTTACTTAAATCTTTTTTTCTTTCTTGCCGTATTTATTTGTATTTATTTCAAGTGAGAAGGTTTTCCATATCACATTTCTAGGTGATTCAAGATTTTGGTGGTAAGGTAAACATTATGGACATATATTTCAGGTTGATTTGAATAATCTTACTACGTTTGTTACACTGATATTGCTCTTGTTTAGTTAAGTAGATGTGTTGCTTATTTCTGTCTTAAACAAGGACTTTGCTCAACAGTAGCAGATCACCTGTTATCGTCATTATGTAGTAATACCATGTTGTGGGGTTTGGGATGATTTATTATTTTCTTTCTCATTTTTTTTTTCTTTTTTATACAAGAATCACCCAAGAGAAATAACCCAATTATTGAACTATGTCTACTTTCTTTTTGTTTCCTGTTTATTTTATAATGTAAAATGTAAATAAAATCATTGCAAAATTCAGTTGTTGTGATAAAAAATGTGCGTTTCTTTTCACGTGTTTCTTTAATATTTGAGACTAAAGAAGACACGACAGTAGTGGAAACGACAAATGATGAATGAAACTTTCTGAATTCCCTTAAAAAAATATGCACCTTGGCTTGATGTATAAAAATCCCTTTTTGCAATTGCTGTGAAATTGTTTAGTTTGTAAAAATTCCCCCAAAACGACCTTCCTTGATGAATACAAAATTTTTACAAATATTTTTTTTTTATTTATACAAATTTTTCATATCATTTATCTTTTGTTAATATTTGCTTATAATTTTTTGCTTGCATGCAACATGATGTTAACCTTTACATGATTTTTTTTTTTTTTTAGATATGTAGAGGTACAAAAAGCGTGATTTTCTCCAATCTAATAAATCAATGACTTAAATAGCAAAAAGACTAAAGACGCCTTCTTGCTGCCAACAGATGATTTATGGAGCATACTAGATCACAATATCATATTTTTTCCAGTAATCCAGTAATCAGAATAAATAATTAATTGATCAGTGATAAGAAATGATCATGACCTGTGGAGGAGGCTTCATGTAAGACAGACAGGTACATAAAAGGCTATCTATGGAGACTTTTAGCTTTACAATATATCATTTGCTGAAATGCAATAAAATAGTACTGAAAGGCACACATATACAGCAAAAGTGTAAAATTTCAAAATATTTCTATTTACAAATGTTTTTGTTTTCATATTATACTTTAAAATGTGTTAAATTGCTAAGTCAGTGGTGTTTTGCTGCACAAATTATCTTCAAATAGTTTGACAAGGTATAAAAACATTTTACTTCTTTTTTCCTTTTTGGTCATTCTTAAATGATTAAGAGGAGAAATACTTTTTTTAATTAGACATATATCACCTGTGTAAGTGTGAATAAAGTGCAGGTTTCAAACACAAATTCAAAATATTCACAAAGAAAATTGAAATAAATACAAGCAGATAATCAAAATAATCAATCACTTTAAAACACCTGCTGAAGAATCAACAAAATATCTAAAAAGGGACAGCACACATCATACCTCAATTTAGGGAAATTCAACAACAGATAAAAAACAAAATCATTAATTTAGAGAGCCTTGCCTTTCATTCTAGTGAAACACAACAAAATTATGAATAATAACATTTGAGAAAACAAGGAAAAGTGGTAAAAAATATCGTTGAAGTTGGTGGCCTACCAAGGGAACTCCAACAGGGAATTGATGACTCACTTTATATCTGATACTGATATTTGTGTGACAATCTGAAGTTTTTCACACAAAAAAAAAACACAGAGAGGAAATCTTTAACACAGCACTGTAACTATCAAGGGTTACTATTAATACATGGATTTTCCATAGGAAATGGTTCAAAAAGCAAATAATGCAGCATAATCATTGGACATAAACACAATCCTTTATTGTTAATATTAACCTTTAAATTATTTTTTTATAATCTTGTTAAAACATCAGAGTCACTCAGGTTTTCATTCATAGGAGAGTTTTCAAGGTCATTTTTCCCCAAGGGTTCCTCACTCAGTATGGTTATCACTGTTGATAATGTGGCATTGGGGTCCAACAACTTCACCAGAGGCACATTCACCCCTCTCTCCTGAAACAGCATGTTCTGCAGGGTCATTGCCTGCATGGAGTCCATGCCTAAAGATGAAAGAAGGGAGTCTTCACTCAGCTCACTTTCATCAATGCCAATAGTCTCGCTGAGCAGTGACAAGACATATTCTTTTGGTGACACTGACTCAGTTTGTCCAATTGTTGCCTCTTCCTCTTTGGATTTTTGGAACGCCTCATTGACTAATGCAGAAAGACGTAAGGTCAAGGCTTTATTTTGAGAGAGTATATTGTATCTGATGTTCCTGAAGTGAAACTTGCAAACAGCTTGTTGGGGACGGTTCAAGACCAGGCACTGCTCCAGGCTTTTATGAATTTCTGCAACATCTAACACCATCATACCCTTGGCCTCTAGAAAGCGATGGAAGTGTTCCTTGTTGAGAAGTAGACCTAGGTTCAGAGCTCCCCAGTTGATGGACTGTCCAGGCAGCCCAAGTTTGCGCCTGTACTGGCAGAATAAGTCGAGAAAAGAGTTGGCTGCTGCATAGTTTGTTTGGGATGCATTCCCAAGAAACGCTGAGATGGAAGAGAAGCACACAAAGTAGTCCAGTTGACAGTGCTTTGTTGCATGGTGCAAATTTATTACTCCATTAACTTTAGGTTTAAAAACCTTCTCATAAAGGGTTCTGTTAAGGGTCTCAATCAGACCGTCATGCAGGACAACTGCGCTGTGAAACACCCCTCTGATGGAACAACCTCTAAACTTCTGCCCGATTTCAGCAATGGCCTTTTTTACTTGCTCATGTACAGAAATGTCACACTCCATACTGGTAATTCTGTTCCCACACTGCTGCTGAATATTAAGTATTTCTTGTTGCACATCTGCTGTGGGCTTGCTCCTAGAAAGAATCATTATGTATTCTCCTCCTCTTTGTGAGATAAACTTGACTGTTTCAAAGCCCAGGCCAGAGAGACCACCAGCCACAATGTACACCGCCCTCTTTCTGAACAACTGCCTTTTGCTTGGCAGCAGCTGAATTTCAGACAATCTGGTCTTATCATTTTCCCCCAAAACGATCACAGCAAGCTTCTTTGAGCTGAAATATGAAAATATTTTCTCTGCTTCTACACCAGTGCTTTCAGATTTCCCACACTGAAAAGTGAAGTTTTCAAGAACAAATTTTCTGCTGAAATTCAGTGACTTCAGCCAGTGATAAATGTGAGGTGTCTGTGCTCTCAGATAACCCTTTTGCAAAACAGCTTGCATCTGAACAGTTTGTACATGAACAGTTTCCTTTATGTATCGGCTCAGGTCCTGAACAAGCAAAGTTTGCGTTTGAGATTCACAGAGGACTACAACATGCTGAGCAGCAGGGAAATCGCAAGTTTTCAGGATGAGGGACTGATCGAATGGGGGTAGGACGACGAACGCATCCAGATGATTGACATCTACAAATGATGCATTGCACTTTGTGCTTAGAATCACGTTCCAACCAGATTTGTTTGCAGTAAGTGCCAAAACTTTTACAAGAGCTGAATCATGAGCTGGGCTAATTATTCCCAAGTTCTGTTTGGGTTTTGGAAAGACACGATGAAGCATCTCCCATGCCAGCACAAAATAGGAAACACATGGTGTTTCTTGAAAGAATGGCAGCTTTTTTAGGCTGTAGCACACATCCTCTGGCACTTGAATTCTACTATTAGCTGTAACAGGATAACAACAAGCAATCTGGTCCCCAACTTTTAGTTTCCTTACATCTTTTCCAACTGCAGTAACAATACCGCTAAGATCAAGCGCGATTAGCTTATGATTCTGAGAGGAGTACTTGTTCCAGTAGAGTGTCTGACCAAAGTTTAGATGTGAAGCACTGACTGGAAAGTAATCAGATGAATGAACACATATCTTGCTAAGTTGAATTTCAATTGATGTGTCATAGAGTGGATATGCTTCTTCTGGTAGAGAAATGGCACTCAATTGAGTCACCTTGTATGCATCAGCTGTCTGAAAGGCAAAATGTTTAGGACCTGTGAAGGTGCATCTACCTTCTGAATGGTCAATGATTTCCAGTGGAGTTCGGCAAATTGACGGCTTTAAGATCAGCCCATCTTTTATGACTAACTCTGGGTACTTTTCACAAGGATGTGAAGTCAGGATCTCAGATAGAGCTTTAATGTCTTCAGTAGAGATGGATCCTATGTCAATCAGCTGAAAAGAAAGATCTGGGATCTCTGCTGCAAATGATCTCACCATACCAGCAAGAGCAAAACCTGGACTTATGTGGTCAACAGTGATTTCTGATGAGCGAAAGGTCACTGCTCTGATGGCTGTAGGGAACTGAATCCACTTTAGCTCCAGAACTACTTGGCGGAAAATCTCACAACAGCTTGCAAGGTTTTGCATGATAACATCAGCTGATTGTGATGTAAGATCTTCTTTCCCCCACACAAATATAACCTCATCAAAGTTTTCCTTAATATCTGTGATACCATGAATTGAAAGAAGAAAAGAAAATCCATGACTTAAGATATATTTTGCTTCTATGAAGGAAACATACCTAGATCTTGGGTCTAAATGCTGTTGAAGAGCTTTTGAGATCCCCAAGCGATCCGAGAAGACCAAAGCCTTTGGAGACTTACAAGATGTGGAACTTCCACTGACAGCAGTAAAGTCATTATGGTAGAAGTACTGTTCCACCACATGACACCGACTGCCGAGGTACTGGATTATTACATGCTTCACCTCAGCCAACACTCTGCCTTCCTTATCTGTAAAGCACCCGCAAACCTCAAAGTGATCTAAACCCACATCAGTTGCTCTCAGGTAGATAATCATCTCATTCTGCAAGGGTTCAAACACAGAAAGACTTCCTATTTTGGCAGGAAACCCTGGCCTGCCTGCAAATATGTGCTCAACCGTGACGGGTAGAAGTTGCATTAGATAATCCAACACTACAGGATGAAAACAGTAGTCATGCAATTGAGGTTGCAGCTCTTCTGGAACAGAAACAGCTGCAAAGGCTTCCTTTAGATCCTCCCCATAGTGAACATTTGCTTTATTCTGAAAAACATCACCATACTGGAAGCCACCTTGAGAAAGATATCCATAAAACTCCTGAAAGCTCACGACAGATTTGCATCGCTTAGAGATGGATCCTAAAGAGACTAATTTCTCCTCAATCTGTCTTTCTGTCTTTGAAATCACAGTACCTGAAGCGTATGTAGCAGTTGAGGAGAACACCTTGAAGCTATTCTCTTTTTCTTTTTGCTCTAATTGGACCTTCATTTCAACAGAGTTCGGTGTCAATATGAATGGACTATGAAACTTGACACTGAGCTGCAGCGAGTTCAGTGGCACTTTTGGTTTAGTGCTAGCCAGGAACGACGCCAAACCCAGCTCTGCGTAGAAGGCACCAGGGATGATGGGTATGTTATTGTGCTTGTGCTCCTTCAAGTAAAATGTTGCATCAGATGTTAAGTTACAGCTGAAAATGTTGCTTTCACTTCCAGTCTTACAGAGTACAGGATGAG